CTTGCTGGTAATGATAATAATAATAATAATAATCACATTGATTACTCTATTATGTGTGAGTAGGTATGGAGAACTTAATGTGGTGTCTTGCCTCATTGAGGAATGCATGTCTAACATTGGAGTACTGTAAGGGAATGCATTACGTCAATAAAACTTTTCTTTTTGATGTTTAGAAATGACACCAAGTCTACTCCACTTCATGTTGCAGCAGGTAATGGACACAGGTATGTTGTAGAGTACCTTTTGGGCTGCCCTGGAATCAATCTGGTAAGAGAAAACAAGAAAGAAAGGAAGACTTATGGTAATGATCCTTATAGGATGCAGTTGATGTGGAGGGTAGGACACCACTGTTAGTTTGCTTGGAGAACAAAAGCAACGAATGGAGGACCACTGCTCATTTACTCAGTAGTAGTACGCAGAGCAAAGAAAATGTAAGCCATTGAGCTAAAGAGATTCAAGCTAGAGAAGACATGACATAATTGTAATTAATGCATGCCTCGTTTGTTTCTACTCCTCTAGGTTGATTCTCCTCATATTTACAAGAGAAGGTCCACAATTCAAATTGAGCTTGAAGAAATACCAGAATTGATAGAGTCAATTCAATTTAAGTCAGGAGTGCAAGGAGAAGTAATACTAGAAGAGGTTCAGGAGGAATTGGATGAGCATCTTGATGCACGAGGAAGTCTTGCAAACATTGCTGATGATGATGATGATACCTCTCAACTCAAAAAGGTAAATAATTAGCAACTCCATTGTTCACTTGCTTCTTATTTTATACACACATGAATGTGTAGTCTATGACAATACGAAAGGTAGACATCAGTTTTATGAACGGTCATCATCAAGTGGCCAACTTTTACAAGGGTAAAGCAACTACTGCAGCTGTTGCTCTCCAGGTATAAGCTACTCCAATTCTCCAACTATTATCTACTTGCATGTTGTTTCACTGACACAGGATACATGTAGACTCATACATTTGGACTATTCGTACCAATATGTTTTCGCTCTTTGGATAGTCTCAAAAAGCTTTGGTACGACATTTCCTGTTTCTGGCTATGCATTATCAATCTCTTTATATTATAGCTCTCCAGTTAGGAGATATTGATAAGCCATTGAAGCTTATAGAATCATGGTCGACTCTAATGAGCAGGTTCTGCAAAGATGATACTAATGAAACGCCTCACCTTTACTTGAGGAGAAACGTCTTTCTTGCAGTTACCAATGAAAGAAGTGTAAGGACAAAAAAGGGAAATACTTCTATTAATAATTTCATTTACAGATTTCTGATGGAGTTGCATTGCAGTATCTTTATTTTGATGTAAGTCCACGTCTTCTTATACATTGATTAGATTCTTTTTAAAGGCATTAAACCATGTCCTAAGTGGCTATTATCCAACAACTGAAGAAGAGGCCTTGCAATTAGCTACCATTACAATGAAGGTTATATAACAGTTGTATGCCATGCTCTTTACTCTCTCTGCTCATAGTTAGAGTATGGTGACTTTAATCCTGACATTCACAATACAAAGTTTATGAAGGACAGGCTAACTACGCTCCTACCTGCTCAACACACCAAAGGCAAGAAACGTCAGCAACTTGAAAGGAAACTCCTAGCAAAATACAAGTTTGACAAGCAGAGGGAGAGCGGAAAGTTGATGGTGAGCAGGCAAATAATTAAATTAATCTTTTTTTATTCCTTTTCAGTTGTACAACAGCTATCTTGAGATATGCCACAAATGGCCATATTACGGATCAAGTTTTTACGAAGGGACTGTGAGCATTAAAGTTTATCATGCCACATCTGAGACAGTAGGATGCTTCACAATGTATTGACCATTTTCAATGCTTGTCTTCTATAGCATCAGACCAAGTCAGTACGCAAGGTCAAGACAAGGCTTGGGATTAACGCCCTTGGATTCCATTTTATAAACAAAGAAAGCAACGTAAGCCATAGCATGCTCAATTAAGCATATGGAAATTACATTTTCTAATGCATATTGATGCCCTTAAGTTATGTCACGTACTGATAGAAGTTTTTTTGGAGTTACAGTCATATAGAAAGTATCTCCTTATATTTTATGATACCCTGTTTTGTGGCCATTATGCGATGCAGCTAAGCTTCTATGTAATGATTGTTTGATTAACCTGGATCCCTTTACTAATGCTGTTAAACAGGTACCAATGAGTAGCTATGCACTGGATACCATGAAGTGGGACCTTGCCGGCAATAAACAAGAATTTATACTCGAGTCACTGGACAAGTCGTTGCAAATAACAGTACAATCGAAACAGGTAGGGATTATAATTATAGTAAAGTCATGTATGCTATAGCAGTGACAATAGCTATTAATGTATCTTCCTCCAAGCAGGCCTCATTGCTTTACAGTATGGCAACACAAATGAAAAATGAACTGGACACTGTAAAAATAACACTGGACAGGTCACAGTATTAAAAAAAGAGAGAACCAAAGACAAGAAAAGAGCTACTACAAATTAATTATTCCTTTTGTATAGTAAAAACTGTTTGTAACGTTTTAACGTCAAATGATATCGTCCCTTTGCTGTTTTTGGTCCAATTTCAGTGACAATCACTCTCCCTCTTTTTATTACTTCTTCATTTGATGACCCCTCTTCAAAGGACACACATACATCAACTTCAATAATGTCACCTTCCTTTACCTGTGTATAGTAATAGCATGAATATGGTCACACCTGTTAAATGAGACTGACATACCTCTTGGCTTTTCTTTTTGATCGGACTTCCATTTAAATATATGCTATCACCAAATGCTAATTCCCACAGTTTTCTGATATCAACATTGATAAGTGTCATTTTTCATTAATATACACGTACCCACCTTCTTGATATTGCCAGCCCTGCAGCAGCAACTGCGTCTACTCTTAAAGATTTTGTGGTTGCGTTGATTTCCTTCCCTTCAGAAGATGTTTGTCTAATGATTTCACCGTTTACAGTAGAGGATAGTCTTCTCATTAAGAGAGAGTGACATCTTAAAGCCAGTCTTAAGGGCACCATTTTGTCCCACGTGATGTCACGTGGGTAAATATTAATCAGTCACGTGACAATTAGCAGTATTATAAAATTCAATTAATTATAATATTATAAACAAAAATGTTTACAAGCTCCAACCACCATCAATTTTGAATTCAGTGCCAGTAATAAAGGCAGTCTGTGAATAGAAACAATTCTTATTAATTTATTTCACCAACTTAGAAACTGACCTCTTCACTGGCAAGATAGACAACCATTGCAGCAACTTCTTTAGCAGTTGCTAACCGTCCCATCTTCTGCCTTTTAGTAAACTCTTCCCTGCCCTATGGGATACATTTGTTACATAACTTCTCTCTCTATTCTTCTCCTACTTTCTCTGCATCTCCACCTCCTAATGTAACAAACCTCTCACGCAAAGAAGGAGTATCGACAGTACCTAAGCATTTTTTAAAACGCTATAATTCAATGCAAAAATATATTTTATAATCCTTACCAGGACAAATACAATTGCATCTTATCCCTTTCTCCACATAATCGGTTGCAATTGATTTAGAGAGACCAATGACAGCTGCTTTGGTGGCTCCATAGGCACAACGAAACTGAGCACCTTTCATACTGCTAGCGACAGAGGCCATGTTTATTATGCTACCCTTGACCTTTGATTTCAACCACTAGAGAGAAAGAGGTACTATAGGTGTTGAGAAGGATTAATAAACTGGCTTATATAAATAAGCCAGTTTATTAATGCTATTATCTGAGTATTATCCTGCATGTAGCTTACATAGTCAATAGTGTACTTGCTCAAGAGGAACATGCTCTTGACGTTAATGGTGAATGATCTATCCCAGTCTGTCGTTGTAGTCGTTACAACAGTTCCATGATGAACAAATCTAAACATTAAAAGTAAATATCCTAATCTCAATGCATCGGATGAGATCTATGATTAACATGGACCATCAACAAAATTCTTTAAAATGATAATTAATATTGTCTCACCCAGCACAGTTGAATAGCACGCTGATATTCTTTGTGGCATCAGATTGAGTAGTGTATTTATTAATGACGGACTTGACTTCATCCTCATCAGTGACATCTAGATGATCTATCTGTATATCTAGTAAGTAAGTTAGAAAATTTAACGGATTGTTATGATAAAGACTATAAATGTTTGATTTCCTAGCCCTGAATTTTATTATTATACTAAAGACTTGCCTGGGAATTCTTTCTGTAGCTCTTTGAGGAGTTCAACGTTCAGGTCAGTTGCAATCACATGTGCCCCTTCATTCCTGCAAGCCTGGGGAAGACAAACCAATGACTCAATCTTTTGTTTGATGAGATTATTAGTACTCACCATTGCAGAGGCCCTTCCAATCCCTTGAGCAGCTCCTGTGATGAGTACAGATTTGCCAATCAATCTCTTACCACTGGCAGCCATTATCTCTTTTCTATTCCTCCCCCTTTAGGCTTGCACTCTGCATGTGTGCAGTGCTGCATGCAGTAGCTCGAAGAGGGAGTGGCTCGTTTCCATAACAACAATTTTAGTAGGTGTGGCTATAATTAGATCTAGCAACTTGGCGGTAAATTTGGAAGTTATGGAGGTATTTCTTTTCTCTTTTAACCATGTCTCTATTTTCATTTGTTTAGTATAAACTAAGAGTGTCATTATCATGGGTCTCTGGTGTTCTCAGAGGCTCTTTACCTGACAACAAGTGGAGCCCATTGATTGATGAAGCACTTGACAAGAACAAAGTAAAGAAGAGTGTGTGTTTATTTATAAATTAAATCTCCTCATAGATCACAGATCCACTATTGACTTCTTTAACATCGCCTCTTATGTATCATGACCTCTACAATCACATATTATTGATGTCTTCATCGTCTCAAAAGAAAAGAGGAGGAGGGGAAGTACCTACCGACGAGTCCTTCTGGTCAATTATAAGGTCTCTTGCTCATCAAGGCATTTATCTTGAGTACCCTGGGAGTGAGGGTTCCTGCATTAGTCACTCTGTGCTGGCGTCAACTGTACCTTTTAATCAAGTTAGGGAATATTTTGTTAATTAAGATTATTTTCCTCTGCCTCTCTCTCGACCAGTCACTGCACTGTGTGTTATTGGAAGGTTTTATGTTATTTTATTCATTGAAGCTAGCGCCTATTAGCCAGATTGTAAAAGCAGTAAGGTACATGTACATAATGCACACACACACACACACACACACACACACACACACACACACATCATGTAGTTATATACATTTAGTCTAGACACAAGTCTCCTCTTTGAAACAGGTTAATATCTGGTCTGACGGCATCCAAAGAACTGCCAACATCTCTTGAAGAAGGACTACTCCTGTGGCTGAACAAGACAAGCAGGACTTTACAGAGAGTCCTAGAGCAGGAGCAAGAGCAGTTAATACTAATGGAGTCCGATCCTAACAAGAGGAGGCTAGCTCGACTGAGATCACTGAGAGAGAAGAGATCTAAAGGATTCCCTAAAGTAACAGATTTTGGTGATAGTTTGACTGATGGCCAGTGTATTGGAGCTGTTTTATTGTATCACCACAGAGACAAGTTATCTTATTCTGGTAAGAGACATCATTGCATTGGAAATGTACATGTACATATACATGTAATATATGCTTCACTTTAATTGTTATTTTGCATGATATTAATTTATTTTTCCAGATTTTATATTTGGTCAGAAGCTGTCAAGGAATGATTCACTTGCCAATTTGACGAAAATTAAATCTTTCTGTGATTCTCATTTTCCTCCCCCGGCTCTCCACATAACGCCCATGCAATGGCTGGACCACACCCCTGATGGAAACTTAAAGGCAAACGTCATAGCGTTTGTCTCTTTTCTTTTCGACGCTCTCAGTTCAATGCAATTCAAGAAAGGGATACACGTGGTGACACCCTCAACTGCTAGAGGCATGATAGCAACCCCTACCTTTACTAGCACACCTTTGAGGAAGCACAGAGAGCAAGAGAGACTAGAGAACAAAGCAAGGACACTCTATCATCCTATAATGGACATTTCCTCCATCAGTTCTTCTAGCCTTCCTTCACAGTGCACTGGTTGCAAGAGAACTGAGTGTATCTGTAAGAGACTCCCTCCGATTGATAGTGGGTCCTCTGCTGTAGAGCTGAGCTTATCTTCCACTTTTACTCTGCCTGAGAGGAGAAAGGAAGGAACGATGAAGCTTCCTGGAGCTGTGAGGAATGCTTCCTCTCTTTCTCAGAATAACCTCCTGTCTTCTTTTAGTCCAAGTGTTTTCTCTCCTCTCTCTAATTCTCATCTCTCTACTGACGAGGGATTACTCAAGGCCTCACCAAAGAAGAAGACTCTCATCACTCCATCACTTGAGAACCTGGGTATTACTCTATCAAAACCCAACAGACAGACTCAAGTCAGGGATAGCAAGATCCCTCTAGCTCCTACTGATGCTGAAAGTATTTCCTCTGGGAACACAAAGGACTTGAAGACATCAAGTGACCAGGTTGATGGAATCCTTAGAGACGAAGACACTACCATTCAAGAAGACCAAGACAGTGACACTATTACTCAATCTCATGGAGAAGAACTGTCTGATAGGAGTGATAGTAAGAAGAATACAAGCAATGAAACAGTGATAATTCAAGGTCCTGCTAGAATGGATGTACCTCAATCACCTATAATAGATACTGATGAGTTACCAATTCCTCCTACTGGTCCTCAGATACATGTATCACCTCAAGAAGAAGCGATAGCCATGTCTCCTATTTCTACTCCACAATTGCAAGCTACAGAGGAGAATGACTCTCCTGTTTCTTATCCTACTCCCATTCCTCCTCCATCCTCTCCCATTCTTCCCGTCTCCTCTCCTCCTTTCTCATTTGCTCCATCATCACTCCCATCCTCCGTCTCTTCCCTTCATGATAGTTCAGTCAATAGGGAAATGAGTCAAAAGGAAGACAAGGAGAGAGTCCAACCGGTTTGTCGTTATATTATTGCTCACATTCGATTTGACGACTTCAACAATATAAAGGACTGGACTCTGAAGCCTAAGCTCCAGCACCAAGTGGCACTCATCAAAGAACAAATGAAGAGAGATGAGCTAATGAAGAGAGATGAGGTAGAGAGAAGAAGAGTGGAGAGCTCACCCATCAAAGATAAAGAAGAAACTGAAGTTGTTGCAAAGACGCAGCAACTTAGCAGGACTGGCTCTGGTAGCAGTCTAACAGAGGAGAGGCAGAGGAAAGAGGATGAAGAAGAGGAGAAGAGAAAGCGCAAAGAGAAAGTTGTTAAGGCTAGACTGGCAGAGAGAGACAGAAAGAGAAAAAATTCCGTAAAAGAGAGAAGGATGGTTGAGCAAAATATTGAGCCTAAAGAAGAATCTACAAGACCGAATACAAGAGGTTGGTCAAATGCTTGGGGTACAGTATAGTTAGGGGAGCTGTGGCTACATTCTTGTACCACTAATTAAATTCAAAGGGAGGGAGAATTTCAGCAAATGCTTCTGCTCCCTAAAAGAAGCCCTGCATATGTAAGCATGGTATATTTTGTGAAAATGACTAGGAGAGAATTCTTCATTTTTTGTATTTTTTTTCTGATACATATACATCTTCTTATGTTGATTAGAAAGTTTGAGCTGATTCCGTTTGAAATTGGATTTTTTACAAATTTTTAAAGTTACTCAAAAATCAGATCAAAGTCCCTGTACTATAGTACAGGGTCGTTGGCCAAATTTTACCAAAAATGACTAAGAGAGAATTTTTCATTTTTGTATTTTTTTCTGATACATATACATCTTTTTATGTTGTTTAGAAAGTTTGAGGTGATTCCGATCAAATTTGGATTTTTTACGAATTTTTAAAGTTCCCAAAAAATCAGGCCAAAGACCAAAGTTAGATCTATAGCCTTTGACCTTTGGCCAAATTTTGTTATTTCATCAAAAATGGCTAGGAAAGAATTCTTCATTATTTTTAAAATTTATCTCTTTTTTAGAATCTTGTGAATGTTGCTCGTCTGCAATTTCTTCATCAGTAGCTATTTTAAAGCCTCACTTAAGAAGCAATGCAAGACTCATTAAGAATGCATTGTGTCACATATGCCTTGCTGGTGATGCTAATATCATATCAAAGAAGAAAGCTTTAAATGTAAGGGGAAAAAAAAGAATAAAAGAATAATCTAATACGTCACTTTGCTTTCTCTGCTAGGAAGTTGAGTCCTCAAATGCTGGTCATTTTATGATTCTTTTTCGTGATAGTTTAAGTCTTACCTTTAAGGGTCTTTATGGGTACTCTCCTAAGCATCAGGTAAGTTAATGGCTCTTAAGTACTGTGGAACATTTTGTCCACTTTATAGTATGAGAGGCTCTTTGGAATTGGTCCAAAAATTATAAAGGAGTCTATGCTGGAGCAACTATTCAAGTGAGTTTTTTTTAGAAGAATAGAAAAGTTGGTCATTAAGCATATTGCATCAGATTGATGCCATTTGTAATTTTACTGTTATTAAATAAAGATTACTGTAGGTATAACTCTGGTACAAAGTCGTTCCAGTCTGTTCCTTCACACACTTTTTCCCTCTCTGTCGATGCATTCACCATTCAAGAACACTTCTGGAATGCTAGGAAAAAAGTGCCTCTTTTGCCTCGTTAAATTATAGTAACCACATGCTAGTCATGAGAGTAAATTAAATTGTGTACGATTACGTGTGACTGTACAAGTATAATATATCAAAATTTAGACAATCATAATAAAACTATAATAATAATTATATATGAATAATAAAAATCAGCAATAATAATAACAACAATGACAATACTACAGTTATAATAAACACAGCTAGCACAATCAATTGCAGTTCTCTACATCCACTTTATAGTGAAGTCTTTGCTCATGTCAGCATTGAGACTTGTTATTTTCAAGCTTTTGTTTGAGTCATCATACGTGAAACTGCTAACTGCTTGACCATTGAGCATCACAGAGTTTGGTTTAGTGCCCACTCCTAATATATTAACAGCATCCAGTGAAGATAGGCTACCTGAATATCCCTAGGAACAAAAGAGAATAGATGTATAATTATTAGCGGTTTATTTATTACACTTACAGGCCCAGAAACTGTTGCTTTTAGTTCTTTTCCATCCACAGAATAATCGACAAAAAGATAACTACAGTAAAAAAGAGTAATTTTTTGTCGATATTTTAAATTCAAATACACTTAATTTATCACCTTTTCATGTCCAGCGAGTTTCCATCATCACAGAAGAGATCGCCAGTGGCAGATCCGCTGCTGTCCAGAGCAACAAGGAGAGAGAATGGAGTCTTCCTTGAGGCTGCTGTTGTCATTGCTGGCTGATGCATGGGAATGATCGAGCCACCTCTTATGTGTATCTGATCAGAAAAGAAAAAAATAAGTTAATATTGACTAGAAGAGGGAGAGAGATAGAGAGAATATAGGAGCAATGCTTACTGGTATGTCATCACCCACTGAGAGTGATTTAGACATTTTCCCTTCATCAGTCACCACTTGCCAGCTGTACCAATCATACCAGACTCCACTGGGGATGTATATTTGAATTGTAGAAGCACCTGCAGTTGATATAAAAGGGAATAATTCTAGTTTGTGTAAATTTTGAGGGAAAAGGCTAACAAAATTCCACTCAGGAATTAGCAGCATAATTTTCTCATTACCTTGTTTTAATATAGGACTAATGAGCAAGGAACCACCGACCATAAACTGTTTATCAATTTCATACGTGTTACTGTCATCAGAGAAATCAAAGAACAGCGGTCTGAGGACAACAGCAGCTGGGTCTTTAGGATCAGGATCCCTGTGAGCCTTATAAAACAACGTGTAGTAGTAAGGAAGTATACTGTAGCGAATGCCAAGAGCAACACGACTTTTGTTAGCAACTGAAGACCATCGATAAGGCTCCTATAAAGGAGATGATATACTGAGTCAAACGATTATGTCACTCTTTAATACTTGAATTTATTCTATACCCTATAGACTCACTTGTGGATCATCTCCAATTGCATTGTGATTACGAGAGAAAGGATAGAATGCTCCTAACTGCATCCACCTACCGCACAATTCCTCGTTAGTGCTGCCTATAAATTCAAGAATAAATTGATTAAAATTAATTTATGATACAATCGATAATTGAGGCCAACCCTTAAGGCTATTTATAAACTGACCTGCGAATCCACAGATATCAGCTCCTATTAGTGGAATCCCAAACATCTGGAAGTTGAGTACATCAGGGATGCTTGTGTAGATGTTCTCCCAATCGGCATGATTGTCACCTGAATATGATATTAACATTACAATATTAATGGTGGTTTCTACAAAGCATACTAAGTGAGCTATGTATAAAGCATGCTTCATGAGCTGACAATTAATGGTCCTAGCTTGAAAAATTGAAGTCAGAATTGGCTCAAACTTTTTACATAGCATAAGGACATCAATATGCATTTAAAAATGTAATAAAAATTGGTGGTGATTTTGGAGCCATTTTTTGAAAAAAACCATGGGCTATAGTACAGGGATTTTTTCAGAATTTTGACGTTTTATTAAAATGGCCATAACTTGAAAAATTGAAGTCGGAATCACCTCAAACTTTCTACACAGCGTAAGGACATCAATATGTATCAGAAAATGTAATAAAAATTGGGGATAATATTGTAGTCATTTTTTGGTTAAAACCCTGTGGAAAACCCTATGATGAGTGAATGCAATATTGTACCTGTCCAATGTCCAGCATGAGATCCAGAACCTGGGAATGTGGACCTGCTTATAACGAGACTCCGAGCTTTCCTTATGTCTTCCAGTGCTAAGTTAGTAGCTATTGACTCGGTTAAACCTAACAATTATTGATCAAAAATAATTGAAATATCCTGATGCCCTCATTGCTCACCAAACAAATTGTGAGTATTATACTCCAGTACTCCTCCATAATGAACTGCATCTGTTGAAATGGTCTTTACATTGAGCGCTACCCTATTCCCTTGATTGTCAATCTGATATGGAGGTGAGTTAGGATCAAAGCCATTGTATGGGATAGTGGGTTTTGGAGCTTGCTGTATTGTTGCTGAGTCATCTTCAGATGAGCACTCTCCATTGCAAAAGTTACTAATTTCATTCATATCTATCCACAAGCCATCAACTGGGAAGTAATTGGTACGAAAGCTTTGAATCTGAGGATTATACATAATATTAGAAAAGAGGAAATGATTAAATTTGAAGCGTTACATTATTTTCCCAATACTGGTTAGCTTTTGGATGAAAGAAGTCAGGGAAGGTAGTAATCCCTGGCCATACTTTACCAGTCAATGGCTTTCCTTTGCTATCCTATAGACATTCGTAAGGCCACAATAAAAATGGCAGAGCACCTTACCTTTATGAAGACATCCATTTGTATGCCTTTATCATAAGGGTCGTATCCCTGCTGTGCTTTAATACCAGGATCAATTATATGGACTGTACAATAGAGAATATGATTAAAATGATTGTAGAATGTATGGTATCGTCAAACCGTATTGCTGCCCGTTTTGATGCAAACTGTCCACAAATGGTTTCATTTTATCAAGTGCATAGTTGTCAGGGTCAAGAGTGAAATCTTTATACTGAAAGAGAAATATGTTAACTTGTCATTATTAATGTCCATTACTTGATCCATGTAGTCAATATCACTCCACATAGTGTCAAGGGGAATCTATTAACAGCATAAAAGTATAATTAATATTATCATTTAGATTTACCTGACTGCTCTTATATCCAGCAACTACAGCCTCCAGTTCCTCAACATTTTTATATCCGTACCGACACTGATGAAACCCTAAAGCCCAGTACCTACACAAATACGATTAGGCCCCATTGTGAGCAATATCCAGGACTAACGGTGGCATGTGAGGTCGGCCAATGACCTCTTGGTATTGCTGAATGACAGCCTCAGGCTTTGGACCAAGGAAGAAATAAAAGTCAAGAACGCCTGTGTGATTATAATGTCATGAGTTCATGCAGTATGCAATGGCCTTACCTCCAATGACATTGTATGTAAGTGAATCATCTGCCAATACAACATCCATACCATTGCTATTCCTTAAGTATACTCCATGGGCATTGCCTGGTGGCCTCAGGTCAAGGTAAAATGGATGCGAACCATCTTTTGTAAAAGAAATAAAGTGAACACAAAATGATCACTGACATGATCAGTAAGTATTATATGTCAAAAACATGGCTGCAATTATATATTTATTGTTCTAATCTTATCTTAAAAGTACTAGAGTATTTTGTCAACAGATCCCACTCACGGTTTCCCTTATCATGCACAAGTTGTGTACTGTTACTACTGTACTTACAGAGGTTGAGCAGTTCAGGTGTAGCGGTGTCAAAGTTCCAGAGAGTGTAAGTTCTCGGCTGAAGCTTCAGATAAGGAGTCACATGCTCACCAATACCGTATACATTGCTGCTAGCAGGAAGCTTTGTACTTAATGTCAGATACTGATCAAAAAACTGCACTGTATAAAAAACAAGTCAAATAAAAAAGAGATAAGGTTGGCTTGCTTACAGTTTGAGGCATCAAAGAGTACATCACCTCCATCTCTGAAATATTAGGATAAGTACTCATTCAGTGTGTTACTAGTTCTCACCTCATTATTGAAAATGAGAAATCGCTTCCTTTATCTGGATACTTGTATGTGTAGAGAGTTGATGATGGAGAAGTTGAAGGATCTGATGGAGCAGGGGAGAAACTAAAATATTTCAAAGAAAAAAGATGTGATGACTTTGAAAGCATAGCAGGCTTGACTGCATATACCTTGTTGGTATCTCCCATCTCTTATTGTTAGGGTCATATATCTTGATGTGAAGTCTGCTCTCAGTCTGTTCTGATATCTCCACCACTAATGGATTAACAGGTGTCCCATATGCTAAACAGGAAAGAGAACAAAACACATCTCCAACATCATAGTCTCCTGCCCAGGCCCTTATATGCACATCACTGCTCTTAATGCAAGCTGTACTATTATTCCAACAAGACAGCAGAGCTGCTGAGTTAGTTTGTTTGCTATTTCACATGACTTACTTGGAGAATCTGAAGCATTTGTCTTGAGTGTAATCTGAAATTTAAAAAAATTAAACGAGGCTTTATTTACACCTCAAGATGTATATACACAAGCAGGTATAAAAATTTACAAGCAAAAATTATCGTAGGCAAATGCAAATATGAAAACGAAGTAAGAGCTCACTTTTACTCCAAGGGCAGTCTTCTCAATGTCATCAACTGTGTAGTGAGGTATGGGCCCTGTCTTGTGAAAACACCAGGGGACATTCTTAAAATGATTATTCGTTAATTATTACACTCCCCTTTCTCTCATTCCTTACGTTGGGGTTTGGATCTACAGGGACCCAGCAACAGTTTTTAGCTTCGCATTGCGTTTGATTGATACCCACGTATCCTGTAAAATAGATCATGAATAGATTATACATGAGTGTGAACTGTTATCAATGTTGGTCTATCAGCTGTTTGTACAGTACAAACTCTTACCACAGTCAAGTTTCTGTAATGAGCTCTGGCAATCATCAGACAGACCCCAAACCTGTGGTGAGAGGCAAAGTACCACGGCTACTACAAAAATCATCATCTTCAAGACTCAAGAGATATGAAAGATGAATACGCAGCAGTTCACCTTGTGGGATGTGCTTCCTGCAATAGATCTAATTGAATTCACAGTCTAGTCTATAGATAGAGATGCTAATGAGCTCCACCCAATTGCAGCAATCCACCCTCTGGACATGATGTGGGCTCTCCTGCTAGTTCTAGCCTTTTCTTCATTAACTGAGCAGCAAGCAGCTAACCAGTGTCCTACAGTGACTAACGTTCATCCTAAGAGTGGTCTCTATGGTCAAGTCTACACTGTCACTGGAAGCAACTTGGATTTGGTCTCTCATGTAAATGCATCTAATGGATATGGGGTGGTCATTACAGAACAAGGAGAGAGCGAGCTTAGGTTCCGTTTTCAGGTGCATTCAGGGAATAATGAAGTGATCACTTTCAATCTGTCGACAAACAGCAGTGTAAACTGTACCTCAATACCACTAGAGATTCACATTTATGGAATAAGTAAGTTGTACATATTAGCTTCTGCATTATTTATGTAATTGTAGGCCCAGTGGTATCTATGGTCTCAAGTGATGATGGACAACCAGGGACTGTCATACGTGCGGGTGGTTGCTTCCCACCAGTCTGTGGTGACAATAGCACTTCATACACTATTAAAGTAGGAGGGATACTTGTTGAACTCCTACCTCAAGCATTGACTGGTAGCACCTACAATTCTGCATTCTACATTCGTCTAGTTTCGATCAACGACAGCATTCCTGATGCATCAATTGTCCTTGTGTCAGGCTATGGGACAGAGTACACCTTAGCAGGCAGGATTATCAATTATCGCAAGAATGCTACACTCATATCATCTATTACCCCCAGCAGTGGACAGACTGGAACAAACGTGAGGATTACTGGTACTGACTTGATTGGCCTGGGTGGGCTAAACATTGCCTTGCAGAGCGTTAGCATTGGAGGAACACTAGCAGAAGTTATTGACTCGTCTCAGACTGAGATTAATATCAAAGTCTCTTCTGATACAGGAGTCGGCACTCAGGATATTGTGATCAGCTCAATACAGACTAGCACCGATAATAATGCTGTGCTCTCTGGCCCTAGTACTAATATCACTGGAATGTGGACACAGCTGGAAGACGGTGTTATAACTTCTCTTGTTCCGCCAGCAGCTCAAACAAATGCAACAGTATATGCGTGTGGCATGAGACTCCTGGGAGGAGGTAGCAATATTAGTAACGTGAATATTGATGGGATAGAATCACTTAATTTCTCAATCGGGCTAGACAATTTATCCAATCCAAGTCTTCCAAGTGAATGCATTAGATTCATAGTCCCTGAAAATACTACTGGAGGATTTATTAGTATTACCAGCAACACTGGAGCTATTGTGTCCACCAAGACTGACCTATTCCTTTCCTATGCTAACATTACTTCAGTGTCACCAAACAGAGGGCAAGAGTACACGTATGTCACTCTCAATGGCTCTAACGTTCTCTCTGGATATAATTCAAGCGACAACATTACGGAACTATCAGTTGAGTGTGGTGGTATTCCTGCTTCTGTGTTGAGCTATGAGTCAGATAGTGTACATGTACGTGTCAATCCAACCAATCTTATTAATGCTCTTAGCAATATCCAGATAACAGTCACAAACTATGGACTCACTTTCACAGTATCAATACCCAATGCATGGACATACCTCATCCCAGGTCAAGTGGATGTGGTCACCCCTTCATTTGGTCAGTATGGAACAAGACTTGAAATCACTGGGACTAATCTGACGGGCTATGGGCAAAGTGTCCAATCTGTTAGAATATTGGGAAGTCAAACTGGAAACATCAGTGTTGATCCCTACGTTGAATTTCAAGTGATTTCCTCCTCAGAATCGCTTGTGTTACTCTCTGTGCCCCAGCCTTTCAATGCCTCATATACTGGATTCGTTGATATAGTTCTAGTATCAGATAATGGTGCTCTCGTTACTGGTAGTGAAGTATTTGAGTACAGAGAAATGGGAAGAATTGATAGTGTGAACCCCTCACAAGGTCAAAGAGGAACTTATGGTAAGTTTATCAAAAAAATTACAAATTGACATTATAATTTGCTTTTTTCTGTTACAGTTAATATTACTGGATTTCAGCTCTTTGGCTATGGAAGCAATGCCAGTACAGTTAGATTTGGTGGCATTGAAGCAGCAATTGATTACACTACTTCGTCTCCATCCTTCATTTCAGTAAGGATAGGAAGCAATAGTAACCTAACCAACAGCACCAATGTGACTATAAGTATAATATCTGATACACATGCTATTGTTCAATCATCCAGCAACTGGACCTATCTAAAAGAGGGAGTCATTGACTCAGTTACTCCATCAAGAGGACAGTTTGGTTCTCTAGTCACTATCAATGGCTCCAATCTACTCGGAGGCGGTATCTCTATAGCTCAGATCTATATCGATGGGGTTCCTCCAAACATTGTGAGTTTTAATGAGGATCAAATTATTGTAACACTCGGCGACCACACATCAAGGACTGATGGTATTCCATCAGGTGAAGTGTATATAGAGTCTAACACAGGAGCCATCATTAGAGGAGGGACCTTTGAGCAGCTATTGCCTGGCAACATAACCTCCTTCTCTCCACTCAGTGGCCGATTAGGAACCATTGTTACCATACATGGCTTCAACCTGAAAGGATATGGATCTGCCATAACTAATGTGACAGTAGCTGGTTATGCTGCCCTATCTGAGTCATTTGAGACAGACTCTAGCGAGAGTACACTTGTTATAAGTATAGACACTGCCCCTAATGGCACTACTGGCCCTATTCATATTCATATTGATACTGGGGCTGTCATAGAATCAAGTGAGTCATTCACTTATACAGAGCCTGGTAGCATTAGCACTGTATCGCCCTCTACTGGCTCTGAGGGAGTTGGTCTGTTAATTACAGGTAGTCTACTTGAGATTGGTAGTGATGGGCCAGCTATTACTAATGTCACTATTGGTGGATCTGAAGTATTAAGAATAGTCACTAGTTCTCCTAATCAAGTGACAGTTATTGCTGGACCAGCTCCAATCATAGGGAACTCTTTACTAGTGAGAGTAATATCTTCTGATGGGTCTTATGTTGAAGGAGGAAATAGCTTCACTTATCAGAACTTATCTCTTTCAATTGTTGGTCGAAATACTGGACAGTATGGTACACAGGTAACACTGAATGCTCCATTCCCAGCTACTGAAGTGGCCAGTGTCTATTTCGACAATCAAGAGGCAACAATCATAACAACTCAACAAATTGATAGTAATTCTAGCACTGTTGCTGTAACAACACCACGTCCTCAGAGACTGGGTCAATTCACTGTTGATGTTTCAGTTGAGAACAATCGACACATTTTTGCTCGTCTCGTAAACGGGTTTACTTATTTGCCCGAAGGTGCTATATACACTGTCAGCCCTTCCTTTGGTCAAAGGGGAACAATAATCACCCTAACTGGAGAAAGACTGCAAGGAGGAGGGGATAGTGTCGTCACAGTTGACATAGGAGGCGTTGCAGCTACAATAAGTAATTATTCTGATTCATATGTTAACGTTTCACTGAGTGGTAATCTTCCTAATGGACAGAGTTCTTTCTCTGATATAACAATAATCAGTAATACAGGAGCAACCATCACAAGACTAGATGGATTCATGTTCATAGAGCCTGGACAAATCACATCCATTAGCCCACTTAGTGGACAACATGGGACTATTGTGACACTGAGGGGAACTGGACTGCTCCAAGGCAATATGGATATCATTTCTATTACTGTAGCAGGGAATGAGGCTCAATTGATGGATTCACCTAATGATACATACGTGGTAGTTCAGCTAATGCATGGTATGGAAGAAACTGGGAGTGTCATCATTACGCTTGATAGTGGAGCTCAGATAAGCTCAAATGGGCTCCAATTCAGTTACATTACAGCTGGTAATATTAGCAGTGTCTCTCCACCAGTAGGTACAGTAGGGACAATAGTCAGTATTGTTGGTACTAATCTTAGAGGAGGAGGAATGGAGGCAGCAGTTGTAAAGCTTAATGGTGTCCCAGCAACTATTATTAGTGAAACTGATACTCTTATCACTGTTGAAGCTAGTATAGCGAATGTCTCTTCAGGTGGTGTAGAAATAATCTCAAATACTGGCTCTATAGTATCCGGAGAGAACAGCTGGACTTATGAAGAGCTAGGCAACATTACAACAGTGTATCCTCAGTCAGGACAGCAAGGGGTCAGTGTAACTATAGAGGGACTTAATTTGATTGGTAGTTCTGGGTCTGGTATTATTGAAGTGACGCTGGCAGGTATTCCAGCAACTATTGTATCCCAGACTAATGCAACAGTTCAAGTTATTGCAGGTTACAGTAATAGCTCAATAAGTGGGCCAATAGTCATGAGAGAAGCAACTGGGCCTATTATAATCAGCTCCTTTAACTGGCTTTACTATGAAGCTGAATTAGTCTCAATTTCACCCTCTACTGGTGTCAATGGGACTTACATATTATTAAATGGTACTAACATCATTGGGAGAACCCGACAGTCCTTATACTGTCTCAGGTGTAAGTTTTGGCTCCATACCAGCTTATGATATCACAGTTCTCTCAGGAAACCTTGTACAAGTAAGGGCAGGGCATTCACCAGTAGCTACGGCCCCATTAACAATACAGATTAATTCAACGTCTGGTGCTTACTTAACTTTGACTGGCCAGTGGGTCTTTAGAGACCCGGGTCAAGTGACAGAGATAGAGCCAATAGCTGCAGTGCATGGTACAAATGTCACAATCAGGGGAACCTCAGTAGTACCTGATAATGCTACTGGAGTGACTGTAGTAACTGGGCAGACAGAGTCTTTCGAAGCATGGATCATTAATAGTTCTCTAGTGACATTCCGTGTGGGTCTCTATGCCAGCTATGATGATCCTAATGTCCCTCTCCCTCTGCTCATTATAGCTAATGATGGAGCAACACTCAAATCTGATTCTCCAACTTTTACTTTCAATCCAGTCGATACAACAGTAACATCAGTTGCTCCTGTTGCCGGAGGAGATGGATCAGTTGTCATTATTAGCGGTACGAACCTCTTAAATGGTGGATCGATGATTAGAGGAGTGTACTTAGATGGAGTACCAGTTGCTGATTTCAGTGTCAATGCAGACTATACTTCCATTAAAGTAACTGCTGGTGCAGGAGACAACACAGAAGGTGGTGTAGTAATTGAGAATGATAATGATATATTATATGGCAACTATACTTGGACTTACCTTCCGGCTCTCACAAGCAATCAAGTTTCACCCACTTCTGGTAGAAATGGAACTTTCGTGAGCATTGATGCTACCTCATTGTCATCTCAATATGCTCTTCAATCAGTAACAATAGGAGGGATCCAAGCAAGCATTGAATCAACTGCTAATGGAACTATATTACTAATAGCTCCTCCAATGACTTCAAATGGATCCATTGTGCTGTACTTTCAAGATGGGATTTACCTGATAATTTCAAATTCTTGGATATCTTGGCCTACAGTTAACATCGCAGGCGTCAGCACTTTATTTGGTTACTATGGGACAATCGTAACACTCAGTGGATCAGGGTTTCAAGGAGGACTAGGGATTGGGAGAGTAGCCATAGGTAATGTAACTCTTGCTGGATTCAATACAAGCATACTGAGTCAGAATGACACTGAGCTGAGAGTAAGGATCAGCGATAATTTCAATAGCAGTGGGTCTGGGAATATTACTGGGCCCATCATTATAAGAAGTCAGGATGGTTCCATATATTATTCATCGTCGCAGGACATTGCTTTCACTTACCTGGATGTTTCCATAGAAAGCATAACCCCCAGCGATGGACAGAATGGGACAGAAGTGATTATAAAAGGAACAAACCTTTTAGGTGGAGGAAATGATATTTCTACCTTTTCTTTAGCCGGTATCTCTGTATTCAGTATTAACATGGTCTCAAGTTCTATCATCAACGTGACGGCAGGTTATTCAGATTCTGAAATTCCTCTCTCTAATATCTCCTATGTCACTGATAATGGGGCTCAAGTTACCATACCAAATAGTTGGACTTATGTCCAACCAGGTGACATAAAGTCTGTGAGTCCCACTAGTGGTCAGAGAGGTAGGATAGTGACCATTACGGGAGAGGGAATGTTAGGAGGAGGGCAGAGTGTGAAGAGTGTGACACTTAATGGTGTCCCTGCTATGGAAGTATTGGTCAGTCATAATGACTTTGTACAGATAAGAGCTGGAGAGTCACCAGCCAGTAGTCCTGGTCAAGTGATAATTACTGCTAACACTGGAGCTGTAGTGTACTCTAATGCCACTGAAGTTAACTTTGGGTACGTTGCTCCCAGTTATATTGACACTTTTAGTCCCGCTAGTGGTCAATATGGTACTATCGTGACTATTAATGGCACAGGATTGTATTCTATTGAAACTGGTCTCGATAGGGTATTACTAAATAACATACAGGCCACAATCCTCTCATCAAACTCTACCCATATTACCGTAGCAGCTGGTCGACCATCCTTCCTTGCAATGAGCTCTGGTACTATAATGATAGTATCTAGAGACGGTTCCCTGACGGAGAGCTCAGGACTCTTTACATACTCACAGCAAGGAGAGATATACTCCGTTGAGCCGCCACAAGGTCAGAAAGGGACTAGAATCATTATTAAAGGAAGGAGATTAAGAGGAGGAGGAAGTGAGATAGTTTCTGCAAGCATTGCTGGAACACCAGCAACCATCCTTAATGAGAGTGATGACACAATAGAGCTCATTGCTAATGTTAACCAGGCTAGTCAAACCAGTAGTGTGACTGGTGAAATATCACTAGTATCAAATACTGGGGCAGAAGTGATTCGATTGGATGCCTGGAGCTACGTACAGAGAGGAATTGTTCATTCACTATCACCAAGCTTTGGTCAGTATGGAACATACGTTAGTATCAGTGGTGAGCGTCTCACTGCTGGAGGAGACAGTGTTGCTCAAGTATTACTTGATAATGTGCCTTCACTAACAGTTGAATCAAGCAACGATACTCTAGTAATATTCAGAGCTGGTCAGTTACTAAATGATTCATCGCTTGATACCACAGCAGTAACTCTTATCTCTAATTATGGTGGGAATTTGACTCAAACAAGTATTAGTTGGAGATATGGAGATGCAAGTGAGATAGTAAGCATTACTCCTGTTAATGGGACTGGAGCTAGCATTGTTAATATAACGGGATCACATTTACTTGGAGGTGGTAGCAGCATTGTGAGTGTAATACTAGCTGGAATAAGAGTCAGGGAAATCTTAAATTCATCTGATAGCCACGTGATAGTTGAGGCTGGCTTTAATCTAAATGGGCAGCCAAAATCAGGAGATGTGAGACTAGAAGCAAATACAGGAGCTCTTACTGTTCTTATGAATGGCTGGTCTTACATCAGTGAGTGTCCACATGGGCAGTTTGGTAATGACAGTGAGTCTTGTGATGCCTGTCACCGAGAGTGTAATCATTGCTATGGGCCAAGTCAATTCGAATGCTACGCTTGCATCAATTTTAAAATAACTCGTGAAGGACAGGGTTTTGAGTGTGTAGGCTCTTGTCCCAGTGTCTCCACACTCAGCAAGGACTGCATTGACGAATGCGCAACGTTTGAATATCGTGCCAACTTGACCAATGATGGACACGTTTATTGCTTAAACTGCAGCTCACTCTGTGATCCTAATTCAGGCTGCACTGGCCCCCATCCTTCACAATGTGTCGCCTGTGCTTACTACAAGGAGAGAGGAGAGTGTGTGAGTCAATGCTCCATTGGTAGCTACATCAGTAATGGCACTTGTCTTCCTTGCAGCCAGCAATGCCTACCAACTGAGGATTGCTATGGACCTGAAGCAACTCAATGCAATGCTTGCTTAAATGTGAGTATATCGAGACGTAATGAAAACTCTTCATTTGATGAGTGCATACCAGCGTGTCCCGCTAATCACTACACTGACAGTGAATACAACCAATGCCAGCCTTGTCACTCTCTCTGTCTTGGTGGTTGCACTGGTCCTACTAGCAGTCAGTGTATGCAGTGCTCTGATGCTTATGTATCGGGACTTAACAACACAAGGGAGTGTGTTGAGGACTGTAATGGAGGCTCTAGTTTAAAGATAAGGTATAAAGATCCATTCACTGGAGAATGTAAAGCATGCCATCAGTATTGCTCAATCACTGCAGGCTGTACTGGCCCAACTGCAAGTGACTGCATATCATGCAGCAATTTTACTGTAGGCACTCATGTCCTCTCGACTGAATTTATTCCAAAAATTAATGGAGAGTGTGTCCCTCTGTGTCCAAATGAGAGCTACTACATTGAAGTAAGGAATGGAAACTGTGAATTCTGTGACTCATCTTGCTTTGCTGGTTGTACCGGACCTTCTGAGAATGATTGCATATTAATAACATCATCTGAATCTCCTACACTATCTACTGAAAGTCCAAGCACAGTAGGAGCCTTCAGTGCAGGGACTGGGATTATAATAATCTTTGCTGTGGTTGTGGGGCTCCTAATCATAGCATTCATCATAGTACTGGTTATACTGCTGGCTAAGACAAAGGGCAAAGGTAAGTACAAGATAGACAGTCCAGAACCAAGGTCATATACTAGGAGCCCCATCTCTGAAATGAGCCTTAGTACTACTAATCCTTATATCTCAAGGCTAGAAGCTTCGACAATGTCTGAATTGGCACCACCACGTCCCTCAAGAGCAGTCAGCTTTGAGAACCCAGTATTTAACATTGAACTGACAGAAGAAGATGAAACGAATCTGGGAATGAGTCTAGTCCAACTTAATGATAATACCACCCACCCTAGGCCTATTTCACCTGATCGTCCCTCGTCACCCGATGCTAATGAACACTCATCTCTTCTTGGTGGAGGAGGGGGAGGAAGAGAAGTTCCACCACAAGTACCAACGAAAGTATCTAAACAACAGAGAGGATCACAGGGCAGTTCAGGGTTGAGACAAAACTCTGTTCCAGAACCACAAGCTCAAAACAATCCTCCTCTTAATTTCGTTGAAGGTGACAGTGATGATGGAGAAATGTACATAGAAATGGACCCTGCAGCTTTACCTGGTACTCTAGAACTAATGACACAAGATGAATATGTTGACGTAGACTCTCCATTGCCTCAACTCAATATACCGCAAGAAGATGGCGAAGGACTCTATGAAGAGACTGACTCCACTGCACCAGTTACTGTAGGTAACATAACCAGCGCCATAAATTCACTACCAATCAGGGCAAATCCTCTGCCTTCTGTGTCAAAGCCTCCACCTATTCTACCAAAACAGGTTTCAAAGCCAGGTATCCCACCAAAACAGGTTTCAAAGCCAGGTATCCCACCAAAACAGGATTCAAAGTCAGCTATTCCACCAAAACAGGATCCAAGCCAACCAGCTCTGCCACCTCGCCCAGTTCATAAATCTTCTTCAAGTACTGCAGTGTCAAGCTCAAGACAACAAGCTAAGAAGCAAATACAAAATATAGTCGTGGATGATCCTCAATCCATTGAAGAGTATTACGATGAAATTGATAGAAGTAAAGTAGATGTGCCACCAAAGATAATACCAAGACAAAAGAAATAATTTCTCTAGCCTTACCCATTTGCTATAACTTTATTTTAATTGTAAGTCTAACACTTGTGTCGTTAATATTGTTAATTGTCTTTAATATTTTTTGCTTATCTTTAATAATAATTAATTAAAATAATAATTACTGTGTAGACATTAAGTGATGAAATTGTTACTTTTAGTTTAATGAATTCTTGCATCCTCATCTCCTTTGTACATTCAAGACTCCATTATCAATGAGCAGTCGAACCTTTGACTGGAACTCTCCATCAGTCTGAGTTTCCAAGTACCTACAAGATGCAGTAGTGACAGCATAGCATTATCTTTAATCATACTTCTGTGCTTCTTCTACTCTGTCCTTGAGCAGCTCTATCAAATGTTGAATCTTTGGATCAGCCAGTACCTTTTGAACTTCAGGCCTTCTAAGAGCATCTTTCATTCTCTGATCCTCTACACAATAAATATCATAATGAGTGGTAGAGGGTAAGGATTTCGTCAAGATTGATTTTTTAAATAAATTTTTGAAGTTACTAAAAAATCGGACCAAAGTCTCTGTACTATAGTACAGGGCCTTTCGCCAAGTTTTGTCAAAAATGGCTAGGAGAGATTTTTCCATTTTTATAATTTTATTTGATACATATACATGTTCTCATGTTGTGTAGAAAGTTTGAGCTGATTCTGATCACATCTGGATTTTTTACAAATTTTAAAAGTTACTCAAAAATCAGGCCAAAGTCCCTGTACTATAGTACAGGGTCTTTGGTCAAATTTCGCCAAAAATGACTAAGAGAGAATTTTTAATTTTTATAATTTTATCTGATGCATATACATGTTCTCATGTTATGTAGAAAGTTTGAGCGGATTCTAATCAAAATTGGATTTTTAATGAATTTTTAAAGTTGCTCCAAATGCCATGTACTGTATTGTAGTGCTTGTCAGCTCATGAAGTGCAAGGATAACTCCATTACCTTCAGATAAATGTTCAGTGATAAGCTCTTCCTCTTGCTCTCCTTTGTCACCTAACGACATAAAATGGTCGCCCATCAAATTGCAGAACTCTTTCAAGAACTCCATGACCTCTGGTTTTGACTGTGCAGTGGCAAAAGCCCCCTGGGGGTCTTTATGAAAGTCGTCCAGTACTTTAGTCAGTGCTGGATCATTGAATGCTTTGGAAAGTACCCGGTTTTTACTTACTTTCTCCAGCAAGTCATCAGTCACCCAATCTATTACACAAATAAGTAAACATTCAAAGAATAATTTATTTTCTACCTTTTGTTGTAAGCAACGGATAGGCTTTCTTCATTTCTTCCTGGACTTCTTCAAATTTAAGTTTTGATGGATCGTCCCGCGAGTTCTGGACGGGTTTGATCAATGGAATCTCTTTCTCCTCTGGAACCTTCTTCCCCAAGGACTCTGGTGCTTTCTTTTTATGAATCCGGTCTGCACTTGGTTTTTTTTTACTAGCTGAAGGTCCACCAAATAAGAATCCTTTTTTCATCCCACCAAAGCTTGTCGTACCAGCCTTGGGCTCGGTACTTTTAGAACAAGAGTCAATCTCGTGTATCCCAGACCCGTTTGATACCTCACCAAACCCAACGTTAGTAATTTCTGGATCTTGATTTACTATCAATAGTTTTTTTGATGTCACAGAAAAGGCTGAGTCCCTATTTTCTAAACCCAGCAATGATGAGTCTGTTTTAGAAGTCTTTGGCTTTTCCACACTGCGTACATCTTGTTTCTCTTTCTTTAATGTCTGCAAATATTCTGTCATGTCCTCTAGAGGAGGTACTTCATCTGAATAGAGCAAAAAATAATGGAACCAAAATGTAGTAAATTATTTCCTTTCCTACCTTCCTCCATTTTTGTTATGGGCGTGGCTATAGTCCTACGCGTCAACATGGCGGCCAGCTCTGCCGCTGTGGAGATGTTAGGCTGCTGCAGAAGACGTCCTTTCCCTCTCTCCTTCTCTTCTTTCTCCGCTTCTTCCACTCAATCTGGCTCTTTCATGTGGAGGGCTCCTCCTCTGCTGACTCGTGGATGTATTAGACTAATCTCCACAGAGAGCAGAGACAGTGAACAAACTGAGATCCAAACCCAGACTTCTCACAGCATAGCCCCACTTGTCAAGAGGCTTTTCGAGTTCCAGAGACCAGGAAGACACCATGAAGTAAGGGAATACATTTAAAGATATCAATGCTTTGATGTTTTCCTATTTTCTCCTCAGACTAATCTCAATCAGTTGGAAAGGCTCCGTCAACTGGTTCTTAATTTGGAGACGAATAATTCAAAAGAGACAGCACTGGAAACCCTTCAGTCAGGCATAGTTCCCTCTCTCCTCCGTCTGAAGGAGATGGCACCTCATGAAGTACGTAAGCAAGCGAACATGGCTCTCTCTCTCCTGGGGTATACTCCACCATACAAAGGGAAAGGATTGAAGATACTAGCAATCGATGGAGGGGGGACAAGGTACTAACTAGCACAGCACACCCTTTTGTACGTGTGTGTGTATATACATATATGTGGATTGTTTCTTCTTGTAGGGGATTGATTCCAATAATTATTCTGCAACAATTGGAGCAAGTCTCTGGTATCAAAGTCCACGAAATGTTTGATTATGTGTCAGGGACCAGCACTGGAACACTGATATTGAGTAAATGAGTGAGAGAGCTAGGGAGAAAAGGAGAGGAAAATGTTAATTTTACTCTTAATTTTATTCTCATTAATTTTTCTTAACAGCTCTAGTCTTCTTAGAGAAAGTATCAATCCAAGAAGCTGAGGTCTTCTATCGGGAATTGAGCTCCAAAATATTCAAAATGAACAACCTCCTTGGGATTGGGCAGCTCTTCCTTACCCAGTCATTCTATTCCTCCTCTGATCTCGAGAAACAGGTGAGGAAATTCAGCGTGACAGGGAGAAAACTGTACGAGACGTCGTGCGACCCGACAATGCCAAAAGTAAGGAGACGAGATTAAGTGATAAATACATGTGCAGCTAACCCTCTCCATCTCTTGATCTTGCATTAGATGTCATTTCTATCAACGCTGGTAAACCAACCCGTCATCGAGCCCTTCCTGTTCACTAACTATCATCATCATCCTCTCACTTCGTCTCACTATCTCTCCAGCTCTAACACTCCAATATGGCAGTCGATAATGGCAAGCACTGCAGCCCCGGGCTATTTTGAAGAAGTTAAAATCGGCCCATACATATACCAGGTATACTATGCCGGTACATATAGTGTACATTTTTATATACATATAAAGCATACTGCATCTATATAATGGGCCAGATATACATATATTATTATTATTGTTATTATTATTATTATTGCTCTTAGGATGGCGGTATTCTCACTAATAACCCAGCTGCAGTAGCACTGCATGAGGCCCGTCACTTGTGGGGCTGTGATGTCCCTGTCCAGACACTCATATCTCTTGGGACCGGACAGTTTGAGTACGACAGGAATAACCCGGTCAGTCCGGTTTCAAGCAACATCAGCTTGAGGGAAAAACTAACGAAAATTGTAGCAAGTGCAACCGATACGGAAGGTAAGAAAGAGCAGAGTATTTATTAATTTTTATTCTTCTTTCTAGCCGTTCATACAATTCTAAAAGACCTTCTTCCTCAGTCTTCGTACTTTCGTTTCAATCCTCACCTAACGGAGCAGATCAATCTTGACAACTGCAATCCGGAGCAGTTACAGAAAATTGTCGACGATACCAAAAGATATCTTGAGAACAACGAGTCCCTCTTGAATGAAGCAGCTGCCAGTTTGACGAAACAAAAATCTTTCCAACAAAAGTTGTTCGAGAGATACAAGTGTCGCAAGACTGCATGGCCAAACAGATAGGCCATTTAATAGTTATTTAATATCATTGTCACAGCAATAATAATAGTTACTTCATTTTTATTTTCCTATTTTGTATTATCATCTTGAGTTGATAGCAAAATTATTTATTTTGTACCATTATAATTATCTATTTACATTAAATTATTTTTTAATAATAATAACAGGAGGAATATCATTTTTGTCATGATAAAGATTCCTTGGCTTGTCATCATTAATATTATTATTATTATCAGTGGTGAACAATAAAGAATGAAAACTTAAAATATCATTGTTGTCTCATTTCCTCTCCTTTTTTAGTCCCAAAGCTTCAATAGTCCATCCCAGCCACAGGTGACTACTTTCGATGTTTCATGAGGCAGCCATCTTACAGCAATACACACGCCTTCATGCGCCTTGAATTTACTACATGTGTTAAGAGTAACGTAAGTACATTATTACAATTACATAAAAAAATCCAAACTTGATCGGAATCAGCTCAAACTTGATAAACAACACAAGGAGATGTATATGCATCAGATAAAATTATAAAAATGGAAAATTCTCTCCTAGTCATTTTTGGCGAAATTTGGCCAAATACCCTGTACTATAGTACAGGGACTTTGGCCTGATTTTTGAGAAACTTTAAAAATTCGTAAAAAATCCAATTTCGATCAGAATCTGCTCAAACTTTCTACACAACATAAGAACATGTATATCCATCAGATAAAATTATAAAAATGGAGAATTCTCTCCTAGTCATTTTTGGCAAAATTTGGCCAAATACCCTGTATTATAGTACAGGGACTTTGGCCTGATTTTTGAGAAACTTTAAAAATTCGTAAAAAATCAAATTTCGATCGAAATCAGCTCAAACTTTCTACACAACATAAGAACATATATATGCATCAGAAAAAATTATAAAAAGGAAGAATTCTCTCCTAGTCAATTTTGACAAAACCCTGTACGTTTACTATAGTAATGTCTAGAACCAAAGTTAATAAAACAATAACAGAACCCCTCCCACTTTAATACCTTTTCATTTTCTTTGTTTTCCAGTCCCAGAAGCAAACGGAGCCGTTTGCCTCTCCTGAAGCAACAATACTAGGAGTTGAGAAAGAAATTATTTCTAAACATCCTCATAATTAAAGAAATACCTTGCATCAGGTGAGAATGCAATTTTGCACGAATAGCCGGCAACCTAAATATAGTAACAACAAATGTACATGAAATAAAAATAGTAACACACCATATAAGGTACAACCACTCACATTATGTCCTTTGAATGCTTTCCTCCTGTTTAATCTGAAGTTAGTGTGTACTCCATAACACAATATCTGATTATCCATTGATTGACAGGCTAGCCATTTACCTTGAGAGAGAGAGAGAGAGAGGGAGAGGGAGGGAGGGAGGGAGGGGGAGGGAGGGAGGGAGGAAGGGAGAGAGAGAGAGAGAGAGAGAGAGAGAGAGAGAGAGAGAGAGAGGGGGGGGGAATCAGAGAGAGGGAGTGAGTCTTACACCTTACCAGTTGGGTCCAAAGTGACAGCTGGCATTGAGTGCATGTGAGGCTCAGCCACGTACTTCATATCAACTGGTATATCCCTAATTAAAAAGCACCATTCAACCACGCCCATCACACCCGACTTATTAATATTATTACCATTCCCAAACTCGAAGGCTTTTATCGTCAGACGTAGAGACAAATCTTCTGTTTTCGTCGACGAAAGTAACCGTGTTCACTGGACCAAGATGTCTGTCGTATTCTTGCACTATCTCACCACTAGTAGTGTCCCACTATAATAATAATAATAATTATTATTATATTAAGTAGCAATTGTATCATGATTTACTGTGTATATTTTCTTATCGACGCAGCCAGCAATGAATAGATGCTGCTTATCTTCATCAGGATTAAAGGCAAGACAGTACGCCGTCTTCTGATTTGTAAAATGATTGATACACTGACCTACAGTATAATAGCACCAACGAGTCCAATACAGTATTGATAGCTTAAGTCATGTGATGTTACCTGTTTCGGTGTCCCACAGTTTAATGTATCTATCATACGCACAGCTAAGGAACTTTGATCCGTCGTTATTGAAACAAATGTCCCGTATGGCTTTAATGTGACCCGAATATGTCCTAATGCATCTTCTCTCGTTATATACTTCCCATAACTATTGAGAGAAAGGAGGAGGAGGAGGAGAAAAAGCAAGACACAAGAGGAAAAATAAAATAAAAATAACCTTACCTTCAGATTATTATCCATAGAACCGGATAAAACCAAATGGCCGGACTTTGGAAACAGCCTGCAGTTAGACACTGCCTTTGTATGACCACTCCTATAACATGTCACATGGTAATCATACGGTACGACCATTAGCCCAATGCATACCCACAGACTCACCATGTGTGGATACACTTCTTTGGTATGAAGCACTTCTCTGGTGGGTCTTCGGATCTTAGATTGATCCCAATGTCTTGAGGTATGTGAAGGAATGAACGGCCCATGTAATCAACAGGGTCGTCAACTAAAAAATAGATAAAAAAAGAGGAGGATTTAAATGCAGGGATATTTTCTCCTCTCACTGTGTAGCACTGTAGTCTCTTCTATTGTTTCTTCCTCCTCATCTCTTCTCTTTTTCTTTAATTTGCTTCCTTTCTGTGCCTCGATTATCGCCTTTTCCTCTGGAGTTGGACAAGACACTTTTATCTGATCTTTATATTCTCTCCATGGGCCTATAGGACACCACAATAGGCATCAGAATATGTAATAAAACAGAGGAAGTACTTTCTATTTAACCTCAATGCCCTCTCTCTCTTTCTCAATTACCTTGGTAGCCATCAATGACAGCAGGGTCTCCTTTTTCTAACCTCTTTCTCTTCTCTCCTGTCCTCACCACTTTCTTTTCAAAAATGCTAGCCCCTCCGTGTTCCATCATAGTACCCACATCTCCAATATACCTTCATAGAAATCATACATAATAGTGATATGGCATTGCAATGGACTCACTCCAATTCATTTCCACTCTTATCAGCCGAAGGATCAACAGCAAAACCTAATAAGTAAATTCGATTGTTAAAATCTAGTCTCCAGTTAAATCTTGCTGATTTAGCATACCAAAGCTTTGGTAGGTCCTCCGCTGGTTTTCAAATTGAAATAAGTCAATGTGAGCCGGCTCCATGAATCCAGAGAGCATGTTCTTGTGTGCTAATTGCTGCTGGGTCTTGTTTGGATTAACTGGGCCAACCTTATAATTAATTAATTAATTGATGTTATTAATTTGAAATTTCTACTACCCGACATACTTCGGGTGCAAACAGTTGCTCATACGTCGGATTGTAAGTTATTTCTTTTGTCTTCGAGTCAATTCTTAGCAGATTAGTCTGTGGCTCCTGAAATAAATAAATTCAAAAATAGTCCACAAAAATTACAATGATGTACTTTGTTCCTGACGGCAGGAGTGCTATTCATTGAAAATTTATCCTTCAGAGATGAGAGAACTTTTGCTGATTCTTCGTAATTTATTTCAGGAGCATCTTCATCGCTTCCTTCCCCACTGGAGCCATACTCAACCAGAGGGAGGGATGTCGCCATTTTTATAGGTTTAAAGAAACACAGCACGTGTTTGGAATAAGCGGAAACAATACGAGAATTAGCACATTGCCACGCCCACCACAAAATCCTATAATACACAAACGTGTGCGGAGTCAAGCAAGCAACAAAGCAAAACATGTCTTCACTTTTCACACGATTGAGGCCCACTCTCTCTCATCTCTCTCGACACAGCAGAGCAAGAATACTTGTTGCAGGGTACCACGAGAAGGTAAATGAAGCTTATGTTCTATTTTAAGTACAAAGTGGATCTATTAAAATGCAAATTTGTGGTAGTTTTACATTTCTTCATTATAATTTTCAGGTCATTGACCATTATGAAAATCCCAGAAATGTTGGCTCATTTGATAAGAATGATGCTCAAGTTGGTACTGGATTAGTTGGGGCTCCAGCCTGTGGCGACGTCATGAAATTACAGGTCAGTCATTAGCCAGTCTATTGCTATTAGTCTATTACTATTAACACGTCATTATTCTTCTCTTTTTGTTTTCATTTCAGATTAAAGTTGACGATGATGGTAAGATTATTGATGCTAGATTCAAGACGTTTGGTTGTGGCTCAGCTATTGCTTCAAGCTCTCTCGCTACGGAATGGGTCAAAGGAAAATCTGTAAGACTTTTGGGAGTGAGAAAGTTTAGAAAGAAGACATTTACAAGAATACTAACTCGCGTGACATATTTGACAATGTTGACAACATATCTCTCTTAATAGGTCAATGAAGCAACACAGATTAAAAACACTGACATTGCAAAAGAGCTGTCACTACCACCTGTCAAACTTCACTGCTCCAGTATGAATTAATAAACATTAGTTTACCTTCATTGATAATCCCTTTCTCTTTATTGTAGTGTTGGCTGAGGATGCTATTAAAGCAGCTCTGAAGGATTACCAATTAAAAAGGAAGAGTAAAATGGAAGAGCCAGTAGCAGCTGTTGCTGGTGAATGACATTTAAGAGAACATTAATTACATCTCAGTCTCACTGTCTCTGTATAATTTATGTCTCTTTGTCTTTCCCTCTCAACTCTCATTGCTATTATTGTTCTTGTTATCTGTAATTATCAGTAATTTATTATTATATTGATGTGTGAATTTAAAAAATTGAATTTTGTCATCAAAGTTAAAGTTTATTATGCAATCATAAAGGTGTCGACGCATGTGAAACGTGAACGGGTCATGAAACAGATAGTATCCGGAAACCACGTGTAAAGTGTATGACAAAATATGTCACTCAGGAGAAGAGTAGTGGTCACTGGTCTTGGGTTGTGTACTCCTTTGGGTGTTGGCGTCAAGAGAGTGTGGAAGAATATTCTAGAAGGTCGCAGTGGTATTCGAAGCCTCCCAGAGATTGAAGCATTCAAGGATGCAGCATCTCGTGTTGTGGGTCTCGTCCCAAGGGGTTCTGGGGAAGGAGAATTTGACGAGGGAGCAATAGTGTCATCATCAGAGAGAAGGACAATGGCTCTGGGCACTTTATATGCTTTGTGTTCGGCGGAGGAAGCTCTGAATGACTCAGAGTGGCACCCACAGACAAATGATGACAGAATTAATACAGGCGTGTCAATAGGTGGGTGTGTCACTAATTAAATTAATTATGCATAATAAATACATTTATTAATAAATGCATTTAGACATGAATAATACATTTACTCTATTATTAATTGAATTGGTGGTCTGACATAGTAGATTATGCTCTACTGATAGGTACCTGTATACCGGATCTTGAGTCTGTCATCGATGCTGGGAATGCATTGAGGGCTGGGAAAAGTCGTCTTGTCTCGCCATATTTCATCCCAATAATCCTACCCAACCTTGTGGCCGGTCACGTGTCCATGAGATATAGTTTGAAAGGTCCTAATCACAGTGTATCGACTGCTTGTGCTACTGGACTCCATTCTATTGGCGACGCTGCAGCAATGATTGCTAGAGGTAAGGACTATTACATTAATCACTTAGGGAGCCAAACTATATTTAATAACTTAATTCTCTTTTCTAGGTTCATGCGATGTGATGATTGCTGGAGGCACGGAGGCTTGCATTCATCCTCTGGCCTTTGCTGGGTTTGGGCGTGCAAAAGCTCTCTCAAAAAAATTCAACTCTACGCCTTGGCTGGCCTCAAGACCCTTTGATGCCAGGAGAGACGGTTTTGTATTGAGCGAAGGCTGTGGACTTGTGGTCCTTGAAGAGCTAGAGCATGCACTCAAAAGAGACGCAAGGATTTATGCCGAAATACTCGGCTATGGGCTTTCCAGTGATGCTCATCATGTTACTGCACCCCATGAGTCTGGAGAAGGTGCTGTAATGGCTATGAGGATGGCACTGAGAGATGCTGGGGTAAACCCTAACTCTGTTGGTCACATCAACGTCCATGCAACTTCCACGCCACTGGGCGACGGTATAGAGAATCTAGCAATAAAGAAGGTTTTTGGAGAAGACAGTAAAAAGTTACTCATTTCTGCTTGTAAAGGAGCTCTGGGTCACTTGCTCAGTGCTGCTGGCTCTGTCGAAGCAATCTTGGCGATCCTCTCTACTGCTGATGGAGTCTGTCCTCAGACTCTCAACATTACCGAACTGAGTGAGGAGTTTGATCTCAATTATTGTCAAAACTCACCCGTGGCATGGGAGAGAGAAGGAGGAGAAAGGCGTATTGCGCTCAAGAATTCTTTTGGTTTTGGTGGGACAAATGTCTCACTTTGCATCGGAGAATATATTAATTAGATTTATTTTATTGTTGCATATTTTACTATTCTAATGATTATGAGTGTTCGTGGAGAGTTTGGTTGATGCTAAAATCAATTGACACAAAATAACAGATGCACTGAATAATGAAATTTATGTAAAAAGTAAGTAAGTAATAATAATAATACTCTTTCGACTTGCATTGGTGGCTTCTATACGTAGTCGTCCTCAGTATCAAGGTTAGCTGTCCTTTCTCTCACAAGATCCAGGACCTTGTTTGTTATGGATACATATTCCGGACCCTCTTCCTCAACTGGTGGGGGGGATGGTATTGGACTGGGACTCGTGTAGACCTGTGTGTCTTCAATAGAGGAAGGATTGAGAGACATGTAATGGCTTTTACTCGTCCCGGCACTGGCTACAAAACTAGACGATTTCTCTGTTCCCCTGGTTGGGAACATCTTATGCTGAACGCTCGGCAAGCTGTAGCTATGTTTAGGCCTATTGAGAGGAGGAGATGGATTGTCATACAGCTCAGATTGCGCTTGAGGGTTTTCATAAACCCCGTCACTATTCTGAACGGAGTGGGATGGAAGAGGAGGCAATGGAGCAGCTGGAGCATTCATGTCTTCATAATTATATTTGCCTTCCTCTTCTCCTTTCATATCCTCATATAACATATGCTCGGGTGATCCCTTCACAATCTCATCATACATTTCCTCTGGGCCAGTGGTGGGGTCTTCATAAACCATCTCTGGAGGTGAGCCTGCCCCTCCTCCTCCGGTAAGAAGTAGTCTAGAGCTAGTAGAATGAGTTCTTGTTGCTTCCATGTACTCGTAAGAAGACACTTCCTCTCTCTGTCCAAAAGAAGAAGGTAGGAGAGGCGTATTCCCAGTGAGATAAACCGGTGCATTCCCGCCTCCTGGTACCACGTAGACTGGTTGGGACTCCTTAGGTGCCTCTATTGGACTCATGTCTTTTTCAGGTCCTTTAAAGTTGGTATACCTTGTGCTCACTGATTGAAGCTTGACGCCATTGTTCTTCTAAAAAACGGCAAATAATTAATATTTAAAGCTATTGATGTTTGATAAAACTTACAAGCTCTTCAGTCAAACTCTTAGTAAGGTCCTCAGCACCCCTATACCTCCTATACATTAATAGTTCTTATAATCTTATGTGTAATGCATTCACAATTCAATTACCTTGATTTGCGTTTCTTTCTACAACAACAGATTGTTACCGAACAACAAATTATGAAAAGCAGCAAGAGGAGTAAGAGTGCAGCCCCAGCTCCACCGACAACATAATAATAATCAACGCCTAGAGAAAAACAAAAGGAGAAGAAATAATTATAATTGCTAGCTGCTATTCGTAATTATAATAAACATAATTATCTCAATTTATCATACCTAGTAATTGTAGAGTCGTAGGAGTGGTACTAGGACTTATCGTACTAGTACTTGAAGGAGTCACACTGATTGAACTTGATGCCAAAACTGTGAAAAAAAATTTTTCATTATTATTATGTGAGCAATGACACATAATTCACACATTATATTAATAACATTCTTGTTGAGCATGACAAATTCTTGTTGAGCATGAAATGTCTGTAGGGATTTTCACAGGAGTATGGCATGGTGTTCATGCAGGTTCTTGCTGGAGGTCAAAGTCCCTGCAAGGTGTTTGGCCAAATCTCCCAGAAAATGACTAGGAGAGAATTCTCCATTTTTATATATTTTTCTGATGCATATACATGTTTTGTGGGAAACCCTGAATATCTGTGTACTTCCATGCCATAAAACTTACCCTCTTGAACTAAATTAGCACACAGGTCATCAAAAAACACGCTTGCCTCAGTCTGTGTTTGAGAGGTAGCCATGATTACTGATACTGAGTCAGAAGACTCTGCAATAAAGTTGATGCTAGCCGAAACCCACTGCCATGAAGTAAGAGAAGGAAAAGGGAGATAGACATTAAGAGAGGGACCAGAAGGAGGAGCAAGTTCAATGACTGGAAGAGTTGAAAGATCAGACGAACGCATTCTACACCTGAGAATGGAGAGTAGGAAAGAAAGGAGGAAAGGAGGATGATACAATAAGTGTATGAGTATGTGTACACTTTTATCTGTAAAGAGCACATGCTTCTTCACTAACTTAAAATAAAGTGTATAGTTTCCCAGTCCATCAAGACTCAAATTTTGACTAATGGAAGGATTAGGAACTAGACTGCTAGCGGAGAGAGTGAAGTGTTTCTCTCCTCCACTTTCAGCCACAATGCTATTACTCAGTGACGGATGGTTTGTGGTCCAGCGAGAGATGTTTCCCTCAGCAGTGGAATCAGATAGAGAGTTATTAGAGCAGCTGCCATCTAAGGAAGAGGAAGAGAGAGATAGGAGATAAGAGCTATGCAGTCCATTGAACATGTTGCCACTACCAATCACTTACACGCTCAATATATTAAAAATTAATTATTATCAAAATAAATTTTACGCTCAATTACAATTACATGCTTACCAACAACCGTGAGGTTGGCACTAGTGTTTGCCCTATCAGCACTGTTACTACTGACACAAGAGTAGACACCTTCATCTTCCAATGTCACATTTGCTATGACCAGAGTTGCTACTCTATTCCGTTCAGTCTGTACAACAACTCTTGGTGCATTAGTATTAATATTCACGCCATCTTTATTCCATCTGATCAGTGGTAGGTTGACATGGTTGCTTGTATTAGCATAGCAAGCAAACGATATGGTTGAACCAGTTCGTACACTGGCATTTGATAATTGAAAATCTATCATTGGATTTACTGCAGAGAGAGAGAGAGAGGGGGGGATAGGAAATGTAAAAATAGTGTGATACATTACAGCACTCATTACATTTACATAACAATTATGTGTAATTCTATCCCTCCACTGCCCCTTACCTACAACATTGACCACAGTGCAATCATCAACACTATCCGCTAGAAGTGAATTACTAATTTCACAGCAATACAGCCCCCAACTATCGCCAGCTCTATTCCCAAAAACTGTATAGGTGCTTGATGAGCCGTTGTTGTTTAAGTTGACATTGTCCTTACTCCATTGGGAATGGTTGAATGAAGGAACAACAGGACAAGAGAGTGTGACTGACTCAGTCTCGTCAATGAGAATGGATGGACTATTAGGTGATGTATAATTAGCACCTACAGAAAAGAAAAAAATAATCATGATATAGTACCATCATATACAGACACACGCATACCAAGACTTACCTATATCTGTTACTGTAATGCGTGCTGTATTAGATTCTACTGCACCAAATAAGTTACTAGCTCTACACATTACATCAATGGTTGCATTGATAGACTTTATGCTCAAGGCATTGACAGGGTCGATAATGTTAAAACCATCCACACCATCAGTCACTGGGTATGAATCCTGTTAAAAGAGAAAGTGAATAATGCAATGAAAGAGAGTAACATGAATTTTAATTATCTATGTAAATCCAGGCAAATCTTGGCAAAATAGCAACATAACAAATGCAGAAATGATGCCAAAAATCACATCAACATTACTTGCGCCATATACACACACACGTATATAATGGCAGATCCAGGGTGGATCTATGAAACAACACATTGGTAGAAGAGCTTGCTGCTGCATATAAACAGATACGTCTCCTAATTAAAATTTAAATCTATGAGCCATACCCACACATGTAAGTGACATGGAGCCCATCTATTCACTTTTCCTAGATCCACTGGCTGTCATTGGATTCAATTACACACTAGGCACATAGCCTAGTAGATGAAGGTGCCAAAATTACAGCACTGCTATTGAATGGCTCCTGTTGTCACAAACATTTTAATTGCCATTCTTGCATAGAGTAACAATTGATCCATGCATTAATATCTTGTAGGGCACATCAGATATATCTTACCACAGTCCATGACACTGTTGGAGGCGGTATACCTTGAACTGAGCAAGGGAGAACGACCCTACTTTCATTACGGGCTTGAATGTTAAAAGGAGGAACAGTGATGACTGGACGGCCTGTGAAAGAGATGAGGGAAAAAGAGAAGTAATAGGATAATGCCAAACAAGGAGGAAAGGTTATACAATCATGATTATAGCAATAATCCAATGCTGCTATATATGACACTACTACTCTGTCAATTAATCTGCAACTTGGTAAGTCTAATATGCTAGGACTGGAATGCTTGGGTTGACATATGAGCACTCATTCTATGTCTTCAAAGCTAATTTACCCTACAAGAGATAACACTACTACCGCTGCTACTGAATATACTCTACTACCTCAAAACAGGATTACTACTATTGATACTATACTCAAGTACAGGCGTCATTATTAAATACCAAAGATTTGCCTCTCCTCCTCCTCCTCTCTTAAGGCCACCATACACCATGAAACTTTGTTTCATGAAACATCTTTTATACAGGAGTCAATGGAGCTTGAAACAAAGTTTCATGAAACAAGTTTCATAGTGTATGGTGGCCTTTACTCTTCTCTCATTCACTTACTTCCAATAATCAACAGGAAATACAGTGAACTAGTTCCAATCTCGTTACTAGCACTGCAGGTGTAGCTTCCACTGTCTTCTAGGGTAGCGTTATCAATGACTAGACTATTCTCTGATATTGTGTACCGGTCACCACTCAGAGGCACGTTATTAAAGTACCAGGAAGGGGCCTTGAGGGTATAAAGGATGTCACACTCAATAGAAGCTGATGCATCAATCATTCCAAAGACAGTAGTTTCATTAGTGGTCCTTAGGGTTGGAGCTGTGACAAGAAATCAATTGTTAATTATTTATTTCAAGTATATATACGTAATTACCTTCTGTTTGTTGAACTGAAGAGAAAGAGAGAGGAGAGAGAGAAAGAGTAAGAAAGAGAGAGAAGTAACAAAGAGAAACAAAACCATAACCACTTTGCCTCATTAACAATCACGTACCTGTCACTGAAACAGATGAATTATAATTTGATATCATTACACTAAAATCTCCTTCATCTTCAAAATTAGCAGCAGGCACATTCCACGTAGCCAGTAAAGGCTTAGGAGGACTTATAAGTGACCCATTGGACTGTGGGTCAATGCACTGAGAAATGAAAGCAGTACTCATACTTCCTGGTCGGGGCAAACTTATGCCTCTATTAGAGTTTGTGTGAGAAAAAGAAACTTCACCGCTTCCAAATATCCTCCATTCTAAGATGAGGGGGTCACTGGGTTGAAGGGTGTACTGAGCTTCATTAAGGCTCTGTATTCCGTCAGGACCTAAAGAATGACAAATCACTACATGAACTGAAAATGGTCTTACGAAATGTTAAATAATATTTTAAAGCAAATCATGCATAATTAATATTACTCATGGGGGCATGTTGAAACAGGATATAAATATAGGACATCCTGTCAGTGTTAGCAGGGTTCATGATATCACATGTTCAATTATAGAACTGACAAAAATACCTCATGTCCATGGATGGACTGAATGATAATGCTCACTTGTATATACGATATATACCAACAAACAGTATACAAACAGAATTAATAATGACTCATGCTAAATTACTGTTAGGATAGTTAGTACACAGTGAAGCTAGCTAGGTGGTACAGTTTAAATGTAATGAAGTGTATAAAATAACGAACCATAAACAATCTGAAATGTAGCTCTTAATGAGCCAGGCAAACGTGTAAAGTTAACCTCCACAGCACCATAATCATTGCCAGCTATAAGCTCAGTATCAAAATAAAGGATAGTTCGTGAAGACTCATTCATAGCACAAGCACCAGGACCTAGAGAGATGTCGCTGCAATAGTAGCCCTGGTGTTGATTGGCTGGAACTATCCTTAAAGTGGATTGGAGGACATTATAGTCAGTAGTGTTGCTGGATAAGCAGATACGCTGGTCTAGTCCAGGGCCACTGCTATTTGTCACAATGCCTACAAAAGATTAATAAATTTTGCACAATCAGAAATGGAAGACTCTTACTGTATTGTGCAGTCTTGTTGACGTTGTTAGTAGTACCATTGCAAGCTGGAATCAAGTTAGGACAGTCTTGAGAGAAACAAGACGAGAAGAGAAGTAGGAAGAAGAAAGGGAGAGATAGAGCAGGAGCCACTTCGATCATTTTCATAACTTTCTGTCAAGTAGATAAAGACCTACGCCTACAAGCCCACGCAAAAATAAATTAAAATTTCTCAATAAAATAAATAATAATAACAACAATAAAATAGAGGCTGAGTGGATGCAGCAGATATTACATACTAGACTGAAGTTTAATGATAAATTATAGAGCTAAAGAGAGAGCAAACTATTTGTATCCTTCCCCTATGTCTCATTGCATCTACTGGCAACAAAGTTTGATAAAACATTTCTTGGTTCGCTCTCTGGCAGTTCTTCCAAAATGGAGAGGGCTAAATTTGAGACATAATGACATTCATTATCATCTCTAGCATCAATCTTGTCCTAAAAAACAAAAAAAAATTAAATGAAATAGATAAGAAAATCTCCCTTACATGACTTGACTCAGTTCGGTCTGGAGCCTACAGGATGAAAAGCGGGTTATTTTGACTTACTATAAAGCTGGACAGACAAAACAAAACATGCAAACATGAAGCAATTACAGGAAAAAATAGTACACTTTCCAACTCCATATCACCATTATCAACATCTAGTAAATAAACTCGGCATTGTTGTGGCTCACTTGTAGTAGTATAGATATATAAAGTCCTAAATCAGATGCTTGTTTCCGTCTCAATGGATCTAACTCGGCTACTATCGCACAAGACTGACAACTGCTAGCTAGCAATGGCTGTCTATCTGGTCGCCTCATTCTTGATGAAGACTGGAGCTGCTGTCTGTGACTACTAACACTATCCTGTGCTTTGAAGGTATCCTCCATTAGACTAGATATACCTTGAGACATTAGCCCAACTACCTGCATAATGATAATAAGAATGATTGATAGAGTTTAATAATAATGACAAAAACAACAACAACAACAACAACAACAACAATAATAATAATAATACTAATAACAAGAGTAAATAATACCTACAGAGAGTATCCAACGGCCCGGCCCTATTGAGACCTGCTGCTAATAACTAATGCATGTTCAATTCTAAATGACATACTACAAAATCATGCCAGTATAGTTTAAACATTAAAGCTATACATCATCAAAAGGCATAGGAGCAAAGAGAAAAACATAACTACCCCTTGCCAATCCTGGCAATGCTAAGAGGAATGTTTTGACAACAAACAAAATTACTAATTAACAGGAGTGACGAGTATTTCAACGCTTGACCAACAGAATATATGTTATGCCATTAAGTCAGGTAAGTAATTATACACATAAAATAATTGCAATAACTGTTATACTCCTAACCTGCGGCTTATAAAGGAGTGAAAGCTCCTTGCATGCTCTCGCTAGAAGTATGTCACCTCCAAGAATAACTAGCTTATTACCAAATGATAAATCACCAGAATCACTGCTCGATCCTTCCTCATATCCTCCCTTTAGTGTCTCCTCTCTTGTACCCTCTCCTTCCTCCATCAACTCTAAATCAACAACTTCTCTATGTATCATGTGAGCAATAGCAATCATCTCGGTCACTTCAGCTAGGACCCTCTGGCTCGGGAGAATGCCAAACTGGTCCAGATCCGGTAAAACAGGATTGACGAGGTTGAGCGCTTTGGCGACTAGCAGTGTGAGCATTCCTTGGGTATGCGAAGGAGAATGAGAACCAGCATTAATGAAAGACCTACACAAGTGAGACAAAACTATAAAAATAAAACTTGGCCTTTGGTCTTAGGCCAAATTTCGTCAAAATGATTAGGTAAGAATTCTTGATTTTTCCTGATGCATATACATGTTCTTATGTTGTGTATCAACCTTCAACTGATTCGAATCAAATTTGGATTTTTAAGTTGCTCAAAATGCCATGTACTGTACTTATATGCTTGTAAGTTAATTAACACTAACCACGCCCACCAAGTAATATTATAACTTAACCCCTTAGCAACCAAACATTGGAAAACAATTCAAATCACAAAAACAATAATTACTATTTTAACAATAGTCTCACTTGCTTCTTTCCACTATTGGGTGCTGACTGGCTAGTAGTCGTCGTGCATGACCTGACAAATGAGATAACTCGTTCCCTAAGAGATGCCTCAGGCTCAGTAGAGGTGTAGGATAGCCTATTAGTCTCTCTAAACTACTTGTAAAAGAACTACTGGAAGTATTTGGACTGAGTATTGGGTGATCTGGGCTGGTAGGAAAGGAGGAGAGGAAGAGAGATGGAGGAAGAAGTGACCAGATGCTTCTTCCAAGTCTGAACCTTGCTTTACAGGTAATAGCAAACATTCTTAAAGTGGTCTACTGTTTCATGCAGCTGCTATACTCGACTCAAAACCTTCTTTAAGTTCTGTCATGCTCTCGTGCCCTTCTTCTTATGCAACCATCTTCAACGTGGTCTAGAGCCCGCCCATGAATAGGCGTGGTGGGAGGGCGTGGTCTCACTGGTCTGAAATTTTGCAGATCTGTAGAGTCAAAAGATGGCCACGATGAAGTGTCTTACTCGAGCGGGTCTCTTAGTCTCACGCGGCCGGTTACTGTCAACTTTGTGCTGTAGAAATATAGGAAAAACATATCCAAAGACCACTAGTCATATTTTTAGTCAAAATCTATTCAAGAATCTTCAAAAATTTAATTCCAGACAATTCCAACCTAGCCTGAGCTTGTCGACAGATACCAGTTCTCAGAAACCCACAAAGAAGAAACCTAGAACGTGAGATCATTGATGACATAACTATATATATATATCCTCCCTATCTCTAGTGTAAAGGTAACCTTTGTGGACAGGGATGGCGACGAGATTACTGTAGATGCCAAGATTGGCGACACATTGCTTGAAGTTGCTAAGGAATATGATGTCGATTTAGAAGGTAGAAGCAAAAGTACCTAGTGTATAATTGTATCCTTTTTCGTTCTCACCAGGTGCATGTGAGGGTACTCTCTCCTGCTCCACTTGTCACTTGATAGTTGATAAAAATTGGTACGAAAAGATACCAGACTTCCTTACAGAGGAAGAACAAGACATGTTGGATCTTGCCTTTGGATTGACTGACACGTATGCTAGAAGAGAAAAGAGAGGGGGAAGTTGAGTGAAAGTTAGACCCCGTTTACACTAATCCATTTTCACATGTAAACGGGGACTTTTTGATTCTGATACAGCTTCTGTTTACACTAATACATGAAAACGCATCTCCTATCCCAAGCAAAATGAAAACGGATGCCAAAGTGGATACTTCTATAAACGAATGATAAATCTTATGAAAATGCAGCTGCTGGATTAGTGTCAACACCTGAAACGAATAATAGCAAAAACAATCCGGATTCAGTGAAGTGGCATGAGTGGATTAGTGTAAACAGGGCCTTAAATGGAAGGGATTGTTATACTGATTTTAAATGTAAACCTAATGTTCTTTCTAGGTCACGATTAGGCTGTCAAATAGTTGTGAGTGATGCTATAGATGGAATAAGACTAAAGGTGCCCACAGAGACAAGAGATATCCGTAACTTATAATGTCTGTCGAGAAATGTTATTATTTCATATGCTAATGCTAAACAATCAATGTAGTAGTTATTATAACTTTCATGATGTTGTTTATGTGAATTTTTTTAAATAATAAAGAATTAAAGGGAAGAGTGCACAAAAACTAACATAACTAATAACTACGGCAGTGAAACTATTAAAAATCTACACAAAATTGAGTCTGTCACAAAAACGATTCCCTCCTCCTGCCCTAATTGACATATATCTCATAGAAGCTCAAGGGAGAATCTTCATCATCGCTCTCTTCATCTCCACACACCCTCAACTCAATGAAGTCAGTCGTAGGACTTGCAAAGACTCTGTGAAACCACGGGATACCAGGAGCTTTGCAACAGCTTGTCTCATGAGAACCACAACCTTGACCATCCCAGAGTGGATCAGAGCCAAAGAAAGCATATGCGTACTTACCAGTTTTCGAAGGATTACCAGATTCACAGAAATAATTTTGCCTGATAAAAGACTGAACTGGAATCACACCATCTCCGCAGGGACAATTTGAATGAGAATCGTGATACCTTTCAAAAGAGCTGGCCATCAAAGTCCAGACATGTTTGCGAGGAGATCCACGAGTGATGCTAATGCCATCAACGTAATATCCATTCAAGTTATTGTGATCACGATTAGTGTTGTCAATAGCATCAGTCAGTTTATATTGATAGCCGACTACCCTACCACACACTTGAGTATACTTGATGCCCTTTGATGGAAACTGAACTGATACACAGCCACCACCTTGGTGTGTTACTGGTCGTCCACAAGCTCTAATCTTATTATTCGGTTTGTAGAGTTTGAAACCAGAAGGACAGTCCTGAGTAGCATCAGACATATTCAGGTACGCTAGCCTTGTCCATCCTGCAGAAGAGCCGCACAAATTTCCCATGTGACAATAAGCCTCGTACCTAAGAATATTACCATCATCATCACGATCACTGGCAGCTGATAGTAGATATAGACCTGATTCATTGCTAAGATTCTCTTTCTTGATCATCTTGCAAGATGAAGGAAAAACAGAGTCAGATGAGCCATTGTGTAATGCCAGCAGTTCTTCCACTGCTAGTAAAGTAGTGTCAACCACTGCTGCAGTAGCAGTGCTGGTTTGACGCAAACGATTGAGGGATTTAAGAATACCTTTAAGCTTCTGTGCAGTTTCGTTTGATTTATTCAAGAGCTGTCTATATTCAACAGGATTGCACGAAGCATTTGGCATATACTGAGAAATCGTATTGGAATTGACACAGGTCTGACTACTGCTGTTGCTGCAACCCTCATTCTTAATCTCATTTACTTGAGAAAGAGTTAACCCATCGATGCAAAGGACAACCACCAAAAGGGCCAGGATTAGACACAACAGAGCTACGAGTACTATCAAGAGTAGCCTCTGCTTGATAGAGCTTGGAGGCTGAGGAGCAGATACACTTGTATTCCTTGCAACAGGAGGCTCTGGAGCCGTATCATCTACTGTAGCAAACTGAAAAGGATCCCTTTGCTGCTGGTGTTGGGGGCTAGGCAGCAGCGTTATGTAAAATGCTTCCGTTTGAGATTCTTGAATTTGTGGAGAGCCACAAGTGTCATAAATTTGAGTAGCTTGAGAAGCATCCATTGTTAAACATATGAAGACCAACTCGGAGTGATTGTTGCTTTTATACTAGTAGATTGGGCCCAGGAATGCATTGAGGATATACAAGTGGCACATAACTGCAAATTCTCACAATTGAAGTAAAAGAAAACAGTAAAACAGTGTAAGCTTTCTCTCACTTTAACAAGTTTCATTCAAAACAAATTTTCAAACAAAAACAACATCTGTTTCAGAAGTAACTGGTATATGCTATACCAGGGTAAATGGGTGTTCATACATGTACTTGTACATAAATTTTAAGTGATATCAGAATGAGTATTGAAATTAAATTCTTACATCTGATTTGATTATACATAGTATGTTCTGCCAGGTTTATAAATACTATAGAGTAAATGATTATGAGAAGTAGCACAGGTCCTTAATATTAATGTCCTTCACATCTTGTGTCACTGCTTTACCTTAATCAAAGGCTGTTTGTACTTTGAATAATTTTGGACCTTTCTTGAGAAGGTAGCCTTGATTATTGAGTGAAAAAATGAAGTCATCAAAGTTTTTCAGCTGTAGACCAAGCCTCTTAAAAAACCAAAAAAAAAACCGAGTAAAGTTCTATAATGGTTTATATATGCATAGCTATACCTGTGTAATATCTCTTAATTGTGAGTGACTAAAGGTTGAGTCGCCATTTCTCTCTGCCAGTCTACTTAGTTCTGACACAAAGTGCTTAGCCTGTGCTTTCTGACTCATACCAGACCCATTATGGGACCGTGAATAATCCAGGAACCCATACTCGTCGCTGTACGTATGCTGCATACTGAGAAGAAGGTAGAAAAGTACATATGTTGCATAGCATTAAAAATGGTACCTGAATTTCATTATTTCAACAACATCTTTCGCATCCTGTTCATTAGCAGTGTCTCTAAGATCTAGTCTAGCTCTTGCCTACGTATAAATTAAATACCTTTGACTATAATTTTATATTTTAACTTAATAATCATTAGCTCATATACCTCTGTCAATCTAATTAGCGACTCCAGCTGTCTCATAGTGATTGGGGTACCGTCCCCTTTCCTTCTCTGCTTCCGTAGTTCCAAATAGAATCCTCTGAGTACTTGAGCAGCACTGCTCTCAAGCGAAGGGCGAATATATTGCCTTGCATAACCTAAAAATAGGCATAGTACTTAGTAACTATTATTCTATCATGCCTAGTTGTAACTGACCAATCAGATTGCTCAATTTCAGGTTCATAAATAACTTACCTACCAACAAGTTTCCCCGGGAGGTTGAATAAGTAGCTCGAGGTGAATAAGTAATTTCCCGGACAGTTGGGGGTCAAATAAGTAGCCCGGGGAATTTACTCATTCACCTCCTGTTTAAAAAAGGCATTGATGCTGCTAACTGTTGCTAAGTAAACTAGTTGTTTATTTTAGTACATGGTAGAAGTTGGTTATACAACTCTGTGTCGGTATCTACGGCCTTATCATACCATAGATACTGGACACAGACCTACCTCGGGCCTATGGCCCTAGGCCTAGGGTATGATAAATGCCATAGATACCTCCACCTCGTTGTATGACGTTTACATAACTGACCGATGTACTTCCTTAGCAGTTGAGGAGGGACAGGATCAAAGTGCTCCCCACGTTTGACCTTGAGTCTCTCGCTTAAGAGGTCAGAGGAGAGGATCGATCGGTGAGAAGGAGTAGTAACTATACCCTATACCAGGATTACATGCATAATTATGAACACATGGATATGTACGTATTGGATAGTACCTCCGAAGTTCTTTTAGCAACAGCTGATTGGAAGCCTCTAAAAGACAATTATAATAAATTAATAATTAAAAAAAAGAAACCTGTTTTGCTTTGAATGGAGAGACATGACATGTTCTGATAAAACAGAATCAAGCTCCTGCAGGAAACAAAATGGATACATAATACAATTGTGTAACATGCACATGTACATGCTCTAACTTCATCAGGATTGTCAAGGAGAATAAAAACAAGATCAAATCTTGATAGTAGAGCTGCATTCATCCTGCAACAAAAATGTCTCTTCTAATACCACATGTTGCTTATTGCTCTTTGCTGACTTTAAATTCTCAGAGACAGTCTTAGCTTTATTGTAATGTCCTCCAATGGGATTAGCAGCTGCTAGTATTGACGTCCTGGCTGGGAGGGTACACACAATCCCTGCCTTAGCAATACTAATGGACTGCTGTTCCATGGCCTCCATCAGTGCTTGATGCTGACCACTCATCTTGTCAAATTCATCAATACAACAGCAACCTGTAAACAAAAAATTTTTTGTTACGTTAGATTTTTAAATCTAATTTGGATTTTTAATGAATTTTTAAAGTTGCCAAAAATCAGGCCAAAGTCCCTGTCACAGGGTTACAAGCCAAATTTCGCCAAAAATGACTAGGAGAGAATTTTCCATTTTTATAATTCTATCTGATGCGTATACATTTTCTTATGTTGTGTAGAAAGTTTGAGCTCATTCCAATCAAAATTGGATTTTTAATGAATTTTTAAAGTTGCTAAAAAATCAGGCCAAAGTCCCTGTACTATAGTACAGGGTCATGGGCCAAATTTTGCCAAAAATGACTAGGTGAGAATTTTCCATTTTTATAATTTTATCTGATGCGTATACATGTTCTTATGTTGTGTAGAAAGTTTGAGCTCATTCCGATCAAAATTGGATTTTTAATGAATTTTTATAATTGCTCAAAAATCGGGCCAAAGTCCCTGTAATATAGTACAGGGTGACACTTTTGCTCTAACTTGAGCTGATACGCCTGATAGCAAGACTCATTCCCATACCTTGATCCCCTAGTACCAGTGCCCCAGCCTCTAGCCCGTACTCACTGCTCCCTCCTTCTTTAGTGAGCGTCACTGTCAGTCCTGATGAAGTGGCTGCATTCCCACACACAAACACTCCTCTTGGCGCAATATTAGCAGCTGCTTGTAGCATTTGACTCTTACCAAGTCCTGGATCACCAACGACTAAAATATGAGGATTACCTCTTATAGAGATGCACTGAGAGAGAAGGGGAAGGGAAAACAAAAAGATTTAACCAAGCAAGAGGAAAAATGGCAAATCAAATCGCACTGAATTCCTTACAGAATTTTTGTCATCTGAGAATGTCTGTACTCCACCAAACAGCCCAAGAAGAAGACCAGCTTTAACAATCTACACAACAGAGTATACTATGCTTGCATATACCATACTTATATGCGTACCTCCTGGCCATAAATGGTAGGACAAAGTGACCTGGAAATATAAAGAAAAAAAATAACAGTAATGATGATGATCCCCATACCCAACTAAGAGCTTAAATACATCATCATCATTGTGTATCTCTTCAATTCCGTAAAAGTCCTACATAAATTGATAATAGTACAACTTTTACTAGTTCATTTACTTTAGTAGTAAAGTCAAGGCCCATTCCTTCTCCTCCCACTCCTCCTCCAATGTTTTTGCTATTAATGACAGAAACGGCTTCCAAATACAAAAGGAAAGTACATTTATCCTTAGAGCTCCTCGGACGACCTTAGAACAAAAAATAAAACAAAGGAACGGTGGTCTTACTGTCGTCGTGGGAACTAGTTGCCTTGACGATGGCTGTCACGGTAATGACGTCGCCTGGAACACAGCTGTCAACAAGATCGCCTGAGAGCTCACAGTCTATGGTACGAGGAATCCTCCCAGCCTCTCTCCGATCATCGTCGACCTGCTCCTGTAACCTATTGCCTCGTGGATAATTAACAAAGCAGTCAGAGTTCGCTGGACCTTATTCTCTGCGAATCAACCGTTTTAGTGAGACCTGATCTCCGAAGAGGAGTAAAGAACTTTCCAGAACAATCATAAGTTAAACACTATCAAAAAAAATTTACTTTAATCATTAATTATGTACATGTACAAAGTACCTTTGCTGGAGTAGAATATTTTCCATCAGTAAATGGTAAAGACTAATAGCAGAATAAGAGACAGATACATACATGTATTGTATGTACAAGTGATTATTCATACCTGTATTTCATTGCAGGAGTGACATTGAAATCCCATACTGACAACGAGTGGTTTAACAGAGCTGACTCTAACTACGGTACCAACGACTGATACACATCTACCAAACAATGGGGCCTTGATATTACGTAGTAGAGTGAAGGGTTCAAGTCCATATAGCCTGTTTCAATCACATGACAATCACATGACAAATAGTGCCTTACCTAATGTTGTATTTCTGAATGGGCTCGTTGCTTTTTGTGGTCAAGCTTGTATTGATACTGCTGTCATGAAAACCGTTATCAAATGATTCTTCAAAAACCTAATAAGACATAAAGAGCAGATACTACAATAAGATGATGATTCACAGTATGAAAAGCCAATCCTAAGCAATTCAAAACAAGGTCAGGATTTTCTTTTATTTCTTCGGACAAATTAGCCACACCCCTTGCCTCTATAAATCATAATAACTATTAATAACTAGAGCTCACTTATAATATACCTTCAATTAGTTGTAAATAATGTACAGGTACAGCCCTATGGGTATTGATCATACTTTGAATCTCCTAAAATAATAATAATAATGATAACAATAATAATAATAATAATAATTAATAATAATAATAATAATAATAGCTTTTTGTTTCGAATTTCTTACTGCATTATAAGTTGGTATGTGCTTGGAAAAAAACGTCTCGAATTCTTTAATTTTTTGAACAATTTTTGTCGTATATACTAATGGAAAAAAAAGAAAAAAGTAGTAAAATTAATAATAAGTTAATAACTCCCACTCAATCACCTTCGTTAGGTAGATAAGTATTCCAGTAGCAATACTGACAGGACTCAAGCGTGGTCTGTATCAAATGAGGTCTCTTGCTAACAGGGGGAGTGGCAGGGGGTGGAGTCGCTACTTGACGACTCGTACCAATCGACGGAGTGGACATGGGATTTTCATGACCACGCCCCCTTCCTCCTCTTTTCCTCGATCCACGATTCCATCTCCCTCGCCAGGACCCCCGGTTACCATAGTAACCACCTCTCCCTCTCCCTGAAGGACTCCGCCCATACAAATTGCCATCAGTCGAAGAACAGGCTCCACTTGTAGACTTACTAGGACCAGCTCTTTTGTCAGACATTTTACCCCAACAATTGACTAAAATTATTTTTATTTTTAATAGAATTATTCACCAGACACCAGGTGTGTGTTCCCCGCCATAAAACAGCGGGCTCTAATCTGATTGGCAGGAGATCAGATGACAGGATGGGAAGAATAAGATCACGTGATATTCTAGTAGATCTAGAGTGCAGTGCTAGTGTGGTGTGCAACCGCAGTGTGAACACGTTGGTGACGGTTCCAAGTCCCTCTCTCTATCTCTTTTGTTTCCAGCAGTAGCTGCAGTACGAGAATCTTTCTTTATTGATAGCGCCGCAATTCCTTTATCTTTAGTAGAAGAACTGTCCCGTTTATTCCAACTAGGTGAGACCCGCACTCAATTTTGACTGGTATCCAATAAATTTAATAAAATAAATTGCCGGGAAAGCCCTCCCCCTCCCTTTTTGGCGGGAAGTTGGGAAAACAATCTCGCAGTTTTTGGCGGGTAGTACTAGTATCTCGGAAAGAAAGCTTTCCTGCAGCAGTGCAGCTGTATCTCTCACTTTATTTAGCTTTAAAAACGTGTTAGGTGAGTTGCTTGCTTGTGCTGTGAGATTGCATCATATCTCGTGAAATTGCAATACAACAGCAGCTTAATAAGCAGCAAACTGCTAGTCATTTTTTAGTTGTTTTTGTTCTCTTGTAGATTGAACTGAATATGGCTGAGCCTGAGTCTGTGTCTCAAGACAGCATTAAGTATGTACTTGTGAGTGGAGGTGTCATCAGCAGCATTGGAAAGGGAATAATCACCAGCTCTCTTGGTACTCTGTTGAAATCGGTCGGGCTAAGAGTGACGGCCATTAAGATTGATCCTTATCTTAACATTGACGCTGGAACATTTTCTCCTTATGAACATGGTAGGAGAGAGGGAGGGAGAGGGTGGACTTAAAATTTGTTATTAATGGGGAGGAATGTTAGAAATTTAGATTAGTATTGAGACTATTGATCCGTAATATAGAATTGTAGTTTAATGTGCTATAGCAACAGGTGTGACATTTAAATTGTTACATGTACATTAAATTGTGACATGTACATTAATTTGCAGCTGTCATCCTGTCTCTATTGATGCCTTACCCTCCCCCCCCCTCCCACACATGCACTGTAGTAGTTAGCTATGGGTAGTATGATGTGCATTCTCCTCCCTCCTATGTATCACTAGGTGAAGTATTTGTATTGAATGATGGCGGTGAAGTGGATCTTGATCTCGGTAACTACGAGAGGTTTCTTGACATTGCCCTCACGAAGGATAACAATATAACGACTGGAAAGATTTATCAACATGTTATCAATAAAGAAAGAAGAGGAGATTACCTAGGGAAGACTGTTCAAGGTGGGGGAGAGAGAGAGAGAGAGAGAGAGAGAGAGAGAGAGAGAGAGAGAGAGAGAGAGAGAGAGAGAGAGAGAGAGAGAGCCAGGTGTAGGAATGGGAGGTGGTTAGAATATATTTTTTCTCTCATTCTATCTATCCAGTTATTCCTCACATTACCGACACTATTCAAGAGTGGGTGGAGCGTGTTGCTAGGATACCGGTCGAAAGCAGTGGGGAAATCCCTCAAGTCTGTGTCATTGAAGTAAGGCCTGGTGGTTGATCCTAAACTTTTAAGTTATTGTCTCTTATAGCTTGGAGGGACCATAGGAGACATTGAAGGCATGGCATTCATTGATGCTTTCAGACAATTTCAATTTAAAGTCGGCCATCATAACTTCTGTAATATCCATGTTAGCCTTGTGCCAGAGGTAAGAATGAAAGAGAAGAGAAGACTATGTGTACATGTAGTCTACATGGTACATGTACAGTTATGGTCTCATGTTACTTGTTGTTGCTATGATGCTTAATGAATTTCTTCGACTGACCAACACTGATGTCCTATCTTTAATAACAACTGAGCAACACACACTGTCTATGTTTTTGATCAGTAGAAGATTGTCTGTGTCTGAATTTCTTGTATATAATTTTATCCCTCCCCCCTCTCTCTCTCTCCTTTCTTAAAGGTTGGTAGTTCTTCTGAGCAAAAGACCAAGCCAACACAAAATAGTGTGAGACAGCTGCGTGGTCTTGGACTAACTCCTGATCTAGTGAGTATATAATGATTGTGATGGTTTCTTTAATTCTCATTTTTTTCTATTTAGATTGTGTGTAGGAGCAAACGTAAGGTTGACCAATCTGTGAGGACAAAGATATCACAGTTCTGTCATGTTCCACCTGAGCAGGTTCATCAATTGTTGTTTTTTGTAATTCCAGACTCTATCTCTTTTGCACTTTTAGGTTCTTTCTGTCCACGACTGCCCGTCCATTTATCAAGTCCCTTTGCTACTGCACAATCAATCAATCTTGAATTTCCTTTCAAAGAGACTCAACCTCCCGTGCCTCACTCCTCCTCGCCCTCCCTCCTTCCTCAACCAGTGGAAGAACCTTGCCGATCGCTACGATAACATACGAGACGACGTCAAGATTGTCCTAGTGGGGAAATACACTAAACTTGAGGACGCTTATACTTCTGTCATCAAAGCATTAAAACACGCTGCTCTCTTTTGTAGACGGAAACTCAATCTAGTGGTATGGCCAATCTCTTTTAATCAATGCATATAACCAGTCATGGCTGTTTTTTTTTTTTTTTTTTTTTTAGTGCGTGGAAGCAGAGTTACTTGAAGAGGAAACAAAGGATACGAATCCCACTTCCTACCACACAGCTTGGGGAAACCTCTGCTCTGCTAAGTGAGGAGACGGGGTGCATGTGGGGAGGGTAGTTAAGCATGAGAGGTTTAAAAATTGTTTTGTTGTTGCTTTTTTCTAGTGGCATATTAGTTCCTGGTGGATTTGGTGGCAGGGGCATCGAAGGCAAGATAGTAGCAGCTCGATATGCAAGAGAAAAGAACATACCTTATCTTGGTAAGGATAGAAGGAAGGAGAGAGTGTGTGACTGTGAGTCTCTTTATATTAAATCACTGTATCCCTCTGGTAGGGGTGTGTCTGGGCATGCAGACTGCTGTCATTGAGTTTGCTAGGAACATATTGGATTGGAAAGGTCAGTTGCAAATTGTGCCTTGGAACCATTCAAAGAAATAATACCAGACCCCACATGAATAATATATGACTTATCATTTTATTTTTCTTTTTTTTCTCCAGATGCTAATTCAAAGGAGTTTAATACTGCTACAACTCATCCTGTTGTCATAGAGATGCCCGAACACCACCCAGGGGACATGGGAGGGACCATGAGACTCGGCCTGAGGGAGACCAGGTTCCGTTACAAAGACACTGTCATTGGTTCGTTGGTAGGGTGGGTGTGGCTTTGAATAATGGATAATTAATTAGGTAAATTGTATGGAAGCAAAAAATCCATAAAAGAGAGACACAGACATCGTTACGAGGTAATTATAGATGATTATTAATTATTTTATTCATTAGGATTAATATTTATTAATAATGTGGTAATTATAAATGAATTTTAATATTATAGACAATTTATTTATTATTTGATTCTCATTTCTTCTTTTTATTTTCAGGTCAATCCGAAATTAATTGATAGTTTTGAGTCTAAAGGCCTGAGGTTTGTGGGAGAGGACACAGATGGACAGAGGATGGAGATCATGGAAATTACTGGTATGTACTTAATATACTGCTTTGTTGTAGATTAGTTCCCATAAAACATGCTTCATGAAATGACAAATACTATGATAGTAACAGCTTTTGAAGCAACATTAAAAATTTAAGAATCTGCATGCTAAGCAATAGAAGAATATGTGACAAAGTATTGATAATTCTAGGTGTTTGTCAAATTTGACCCTGCATGTAGCATAAGGACATCAATATGTATCAGAAAATGTAATTAAAATTGGGGGTGATTTCGGAGTCATTTTTTGGAAAAAACCATGGGCTATAGTACAGGGATTTTTTCAGAATTTTGACATTTTCTTAAAATGGCCATAACTTGAAAATTTGAAGTCGGAATCAGCTCAAACTTTTTACATAGCATAAGGACATCAATATGTATTAGAAAATGTAATAAAAATTGGAGGTGATTTCGGAGCCATTTTTTGGAAAAAACCATGGGCTATAGTACAGGGATTTTTTCAGAATTTTGACATTTTCTTAAAATGGTCGTAACTTGAAAAATTGAAGTCGGAATCAGCTCAAACTTTCTACACAGCATAAGGGCATCAATATGTATCAGAAAATGTAATAAAATTTTGGGGTGAGTTTGGAGCCATTTTTTGTAAAAAAAAGCATGGGCTATATATAGTACAGGGAAGTTTATTTTTAAAATCATTGTAGGTCATCAGTACTTTGTTGGTGTTCAGTATCATCCGGAATATCTCACTCGTCCATTAAAACCCTCACCTCCTTATCTTGGACTTATACTAGCATCATGTGGGAAGCTACAGGTAGTCAGCCATTGCATGTGCATATATGAACAGTAATTAATATTCAGTTACTCTCTATTGGATACTATTGTCACTTGACTCAGACTTGGTACATTAGCAACTCTTCTTGTTAACTTCTTTCTCTTCTTTATAGAATTACATAGCTAGAGGTTGCATACCCTCCCCACGCTGCAGCTATGAATATTACTCTGATGATTCCGATACTGAACTTAACGACGAGGTAACGCAGGCATTTGGACGTACGGCCAGTAGCAACTCCATCGGCCCGTTTGAAAATTCACCATTATCCTGTTCACCTTCAAACAATTGAATGATAATTGGGACGAGCCTGAGCTAGCCCTGTTTGTAGGCGTACTTCATCCCCTATTTATTTATCTTATTTATTTGATTTAGTATGTTAGCACACTAGTAGTGTATTGTTGACATTCATTTCTTTTAACTCTAAAATTAATTATTATTTTTTGTATTATAATTTTAAAAGATTTAATTTAGAATGATTATAAAATTTTAACTTCAAATTTCACAGCAGTTGTACTACATTGTAACTACAAATAAAGAGAAAAGAAAATTGCAATAAAATGCCTTAGAACCTTCAGCATCAGATTTCTGCTCCTTTGTATATGTACCTCAACATGATAGTACTAGTAAAGCATTTTTTATTAAAATAGAAAGATTAACATAGCACAATGAAATGTATGAATGAACTATAACAATATCCTTGCAAGAGAGAGAGAGAGAGTAAATATTAAATGATTAAAATACTATTTTTAAAGATAGGCGGTTTAAACTAATAGATAATAGAGAGAGAAGAGAGTTTGAAAACATCAATAACAATAATAATAATAATAATAATAATGATTAATCACACAGA